ACCTCGAGGAACATTTAAAAGATCTTGAAGAAGAAATAGCCAAACGTTTAGAGGAGAATTCAAAGAAAGACGACGAAGATGTCAACGAATCAGATAATGAGACAGAAGATGAAGATGCTCAAAGTTTCAGTACGATCGGAAACATTTTAAAGGGAACCAAAGACACTACTTTACATGTAGGAGGTAAACTAAAAGACAGAGTCAAGGAGAATGTCGATGACGTAAGTAAGAATATACTTAAACTTGGGGATAGAAGCATCAAGATAAAGGACGAGCTGTTAGGAATAGGATCAGAAGTGTTAGGAAAAGGATTAGGAGCCGTCGGTCAGATGCAAGAGATAATTACGGACATCGCTCAAAAAATGAAAGATCCGCTTAACAAAATACGCGACAGTTTTAAAGAGAAGGCTAAAAAAATTGTTACAGAACTTGAAAGCAAAGCCAGAGAGGCCACAGGAAAATTGAGAGAAAAGTTGGTAGAAAAGATTGCCGTCTTAAAGGAAGACATAAAAATAATTGAAAGCAAATTAGAAAACCAAATTAGTAAGTTAAAAGAAGTTACCGAAAAATTGATAGTCGAGATGAAGAGCAAGGTTCAGAAACTGGTAGAGGAAATTAAAAATGTTTTAAAAAAGCTTAATGAATTGTCGACAGAAATCAGTGAGAAGATAAAAGAAAGAGTTAAAGATCTTCTACGCATTATTCTGGACATCAAAGGAGATGTTAAAGGAAAGCTTGAAGACATTGGAGACAAAGTGAAAGACAAATCTAAAGATCTTTTAGACAAATCTAAAGATCTTTTGGGCAATCTTAAGGGAAATGCCGAAGAAAAAATCAAAGACATCAAAGATAAGTTAAAGGAAAATATTCTCGCTAATGCCGACGAGTTTAAAAATATTATTGTGAAGATCGAAGGACAATTAAAGAATTCAATGCAATCTATTCAGAATAAGGTCAAGGAGATCACAGAAAGTACCAACGAAACATTAAAGAAGTTGCGTGAAAATTCTCAAGATATAATTAAAAAACTCGACGGCAATTTTAGAGAAGTCTTTGAGACAATAAAAGAAAAAGCTAAGGACGTCAAAGATGATCTTAAAGAAACGCTCGAGAAGCTTGCTACAGAAGTGAAGGAAAAACTTAAAAACATTCCGGAAATAATCGATATCATTAAAGAAAAGGTCGAGAAGATCGCCAAAGATTTAGGAATTGCAATGGAAGACTCACTAAAGAATCTCAAAAATCACAGTGAGAATATCAAAAAGAAGATTGAAAATAATGTAAACAACTTGAAGAACAAGATCGGTAAAGATGCCAAGGACATCACGGAGGAAGTCACGGAAAACTTGGATGATGCAATCAGTGATTCTTAACTAAGGCTTCTGGGAACAATTTCTCTTTGTACGTGTGTGAACACATTTATCTTATAAAGTAATATACGAAGTTGATGCGTGTTCAGAGAAAACGCCGCGCATATTTCTGTTTATGTATTAAAAGATCATCAAAATTTCACAAATATTTAAACAGCTTGACATTTCGCAAAAAGTAGAAAATTTAAGCATATTTCAATTTTTAACTGAACACAGTCGCAATCTGCCGTTTATTTAACTGTAATTTCATGTGAGTAACGTATTTACTTTTGTTTTTAGGTAGCAAGATCCTCTACAAATTATGACTTATGACACGACGTTCATCAAAACTACGCATTTACCGAAAAGAAAAATAAAATAAACATAATTAGTGTTGATTTTGATTTCAGTGTATAAAAAAATAATGTAAAAAAATGTTTTAAAATAAAAAAGTCTAATTACATTAAAACTCATGTTTGTTTAATAAATTTATTCCACATTTTTCTCATGTCGTGTTGTATACCTACTATCTAAAGATAATCAGCAGTAGTTACACCAATCTTTAATTAATTCACCAAATGCTCATAAATATTCTATATTTTTGAACATTTTGCGTGCGAATAATTTATATATCGGGAAAACAGAAAAAAAATGTATTTGTCTCAACGATATTTCGCGGACATATAATATCCACGTCAATTAGGTCATGACTTTCAACTTGCGTGCGATCGACAATATTCAGCCATATATACCTTACTATTGCCAATAAGATGTTACATAAGCGTTTCATTACTCGGAATATATAAGTATTTATATACATTACGTAAGTTAGAAATGAATTGAAATAAACTTTTTTTTTTTAACTATAACGTGCATTTGCAACAAATAATTCGACATCTTAAGAAATTATATAAATCCCATTGTAGTATAAAACAAATATAAACTTGTTTGTGTAATTGAATCGAATATAATTAAGTTAATCAACATTACATTATTTGTTTTTAATTTATTAATATAATAATAACTTTCGCATCAAATCTCTGCTGCCTTGGTGAAGAAAATTTGCAAACATTTGTTTTTGACATTTGCGAATCAAATTTGTGATATCTTTTTATTTATTTTGAAATATACAGAAGGCACACAATTTATTTCTATACAAGACTAATAAATTAGTGGACTTCTAATATAAAAACAATATGTCACACGTGAGTTTGATATTCGAAGTTAGAAACAATTAATAATGTGTGTGTATGAGACATATCGAATTAACATTGTCATTCAAAATTAGAGAAAAAAAGAAGGGATTAAACAGATAGAAAAAGAAAAAAACAGAATTTGCGGAAAGAAACAGTGTGTGTGTACTTTCTAAGTATATATTTGACTTGTTAATCTTTAACCCTCGTATGTAAAAAGTGTGAACTAGACGTTATCGCAAAGCCAAACCTATGTGTGTGTGTGTGTGAATATATAGATATACAAAATAAATGTGAATTTGTCTGGAGCATATCTTTATCGAGCTGATGTAATGTCTCATGAAGCGAAAACGGATCTTCATTGAGAGTGATAATTTTGATCTCCCCTTGAACCACGATCTCTCTTTTTTGCAATAACACCGAAAGTATATTCATCTTTCTCTTTTCAAATTTACAAATTGTATAAGAACAAAGTTGTCTCTATAAATTGTATATTGATAAAGTAGAAATATATGTTTGAAATAAGTTAATATATATATATAGATACACATACAGATAAAACAATTCTGTAATTTTACTTGAATTAAATCACACAGGAACCTTATTGGGGATATTTCTACAAGTACGTTTATTATTAGACTAAAAACAAAAGATAAAAGCTTTTAATGTTGCTCGTTACATTCAATGATTAAATGTTTATCTTAGAGAGGAAATTTGTTTCCGATCCTTTCTTTCCGTTCCTATAAATCAAATAAATCAGAATACAAAACAAGTCTACGCGATAAAACGCTCTTATCATCTTATGCATTTGGAATGAATCTGAACTTCTCTTGGAGAGAAAATTAAAAACTTATGAGAAAATAATATAATATGTTCTTTTTTTTCTGTAATATGTTTTTTTTTTCTGTATATGATTGAGAATATAAAATGTGAAATTTTGTATTTTTGTGTGAGCGAATATATTGTAAATCTGCTTATCTAATTATTATATATTTTACATTTTTAAATCTGTTTTCTATTAATCTAATAGTTTCTTTATGTGTGGTCTCTGTATATGTATCAAAATAGATAAAAAGATATCACAAACTTGATTTTCAAATGTCAAAAATAGATTTTTGCACTAAATTTTGTTCACAAAGGTGGCAGATTTGATGGAAAATTTATTATTATTAAATTACTTTTTTAAGACTCATGAACAAAAATGCAATGTCGATAAACATAATGTATTTAAAACTTGACATCTGTTAGATGCAATTTTGACGGTGAATTGGTAGCGGAAAAATCAAATAGATATGCTGAAATCAAAAGAAGAAAAAACGTTTAACAAATCTATTAGGATTTTGTTGACAATTTGTCATCAGATAGTGTTAGCAGATTGTTGATTATATAGCTCAATATGAATGCAGATGACCCCGGATCTGTCACGGTTTGGTGAATTTGTTGCCTATCTGCTGACTATATCACTTTTTTTAAAAACAAATACTCTAACATAGCTCTTACAAGCCGTAAAACTGATTTATTAATATTAAATTTACAAACCTAAAAAGATATTAACATGAACAAAATATTAATGAGAAATATGAAATGTTATCCTTGTTATGTAAACTCTCCTATTTGAAGTGAAAAATAATTTACAAATAGTTTTATACATATGTACATATATAATTATATATAATAATTATATATATATAATAACTTTTTAAAGCAAATTAAGGATCTCATTTGTAATAATGTCGTAATAAGTATTATATAATGGATGTAATTATTGCATACGTATAAACTGTGCATTTACTTTTTCAGTAAATACTCTTAACTTTTTTACCGTCGTTAAACATATGTGTGTACGATTCTGTCAACACAATATATGTTGTATTGTGGAATAAAGAGAATACTTAAAATCTTTAGAATTGTCATTATTCAATTTCCGGGAATGCTGAAGCGCATCTCGTTAGCGAAGTCAATGTAGATACAGAGTTACAGCTCTTTTTTTTTTTTTTTTTTTTAGAATTGCAGCGGACACATAAAAACGTGGGTTGTTGTTGTCGCTGTCGATAATAAGCACTTTGCCCTCTTCGATAAGAAGCGGCTATAAAAGATACTACGTTGTTCATCCTACATCAGTCGTTTTCTAATCGTTTAAAGAAGACAAACATCAAGCGAGATGAAGTGCCTGTCCGTAGTGATCTTAGCTCTGGTCGTAATCGCGGCCGAGAGCAAAGTTCTGCCAGCCAGCAATGTCGAGTCCCAGCAGACTGAGACACAACCTCTCCAATTGTCCGATCAGATCAGAGAGGCTCAAAATCAGATCGCCTCTCTGGGTGCTCAGCTTCAGGACCTGTTGCATTTACCCAATCAGGAAGAAATTGCTAACACCATAAAAGAACAAAGCAGCAATTTGGCCAACAGCATTCAATCATTCATGAAGAACGTAACTGATGAGGTAAACTAATTATATATATATATGTATATATATATATACGTATATATGTTTATATACGTTATACGCGTACACTACACACTACATATACATACTTGCTTCTTTTAAATACATTTATAACATCGAATCAAACAAAATAAATGTTTACGCACTTAGAAAGATTATTTTGTTTCTTTAGATCTAATTTGAAGACTCTATTTACTTTTCATTGGATAATATATATTTATCGACGTTCTATCTTTTGTGCTTGTATACTTTGTTTATTATATTTGCAATGGAAAATTTTTAAAAGACTATAATTTATTTGTTTGCAGTTACAACACACAAAGACTTCGTCTGAAAAGTAATACATAAAAAAAGCTATAGATATTTTCAAAATTAAAAGCAAATTTATTGCTTAATTCTCTAGAATAGAGAAATATTATTCGCATTTCGAAGAAAAATTAGTAAGAGAAGTTCAGCGAATATTCTAAATCGAATTACAAGAAACAGTCAAAAAAGGATAGATATATAAATATCAAGAGAAATATAGTAAAAAAATATACAATTTTATAATGTGTGTAATTTGTACTCCTATATATTAACACAAAATGTTATAACAATTGATATAACAGTTTCTCAACTCATTACGTTATTAGAAAATATTGTAGTACAATTATACATAGAAATGCTTATTAATAAATATAAACAAAAACATATTTTCCACGTTATTTAGTCAAATTTCTTTCGAAGGTTCTTTCAAGAATTTTTTTACATCCATATTACCTGTATACACGCATACATTTTAAAACAACATTTTTAAATATTTTAATTTTTTTACAATATAAATAAGATTTACTCTCGGAAAAAGAAACTCCGAAAACGTGACAGAAGATATAAGGTTGATGCGGCTTATTTGTAGATCAAAACCAAAACCCCCGAGTTGGAAAATCTCTGGGAGAACGTAAAGACCAAATTGGCGGATATACCTAGCAACTTAAACGTCAATCCCGAGACCACGGAACAAGTGAATCAGCTGCAAGCTAAGTTCCAAGAGGGTCTTCAGACTCTTGTAAACGAGTCCGAGAACGTTGCTAAAGCTCTCAACAAAAACTCCGAAAAAATGCAAGATAGTATATCCAAGTTCACCAAGCAAGCGTTAGACATCGTCGCGCAAGCTTCTCAGAACTTCAACAATCAATTGCAACAATCCTCGTCTACAGCTCAACCATGAAATTAAAAAGAAGAAGGTACAAAATCTCGCGTACAAAATTATTCGCAGTACAAGTGCACCGAACAACAACACACACATACAATAATCAGCTAACATATTGTCATACATATTGTATCACACATAAATAGCCTTAAAATATATATATATATATAATTTTAAAAATCCTGAAATTTATGCGTATATATCATTCTTATCCTGAAATTTTTCTGACATTTAAGTTGAATGATGATATTATTTGAGTTAACAATCTCTGCCGGCGCGCGAACGTGAGAACAAACCAACCAATAAAAATGTTTTCTTAAATAATCATTGTTGTATCATAATGTTTATCAGCTTTTGCGCGAACAAGATACATATTTGTCCGGAAATTCTGCGGCATACGATTTTATTGATATCGAGAAACAAAACTTCCGTGCTTACAACAGATAAAAAATATCAAAATATAAAATTTAATATCATATTTTTAGGGAGAGAGAGAGAGAGAGAGAGAGAGAGAGTTTCGTGTGTTTCGCGCGCGAGTTTTATTCGATTTGATATCTCATTTTTTTATGCTAACAAAGATGATAACATTTAACCGCGATCAAATGTGCAATTCATCGATATGCATATATCGATGCACATGTGCACGAGTTTATGTAATTTAAAAAAAAAAAAAAAAATAAGGAGAATAAAAACTTTTATGTTTCTGTTTAATTGTTGAAAAGATATTTTATACTATATATAATATCCCTTTATAATGAAATATCCCTTAATAAAGAAAACAATAATGAATTAACAATTGAGAAAGACAATCGAATCTTTTGCTTTATGATATAATGAAAATTCTCGAATTTTACTCTACTTGTATCGTTCAGCAATAAGTGAACAACAAGAGATCAAGTATTACACCTAATCAGCGAATTCCGTTTGAATTTCGCATTGTCAACGTGTATCGTCGAAACCTACTTATAATTAGCCGCATTTGTTAATCCGTTGTAACCTAAATACTTTAAAGTTGAAATATTATTATCGATTTAAATTAACTTAAAATCGTTGCAAAACTTGATAATATAAAGAGTCGGATAAATAAAATTGCGCGATGGGAAACATATGTCTGTAACATATTTATTTCAGATTTGCTAAGAACAAATTAAATTTTAAAAGCAAAAATACTATTTTAACGCAATGAGAAATATTTTGCCCACCCGCAACGGCAATGTGCGCGTACTCGTCTCTTATAAAAGCATCGGAATCGTTGTAATTCTTTACACTGTTATTTAAGAACTCAACGTGAAAGTACAAAAGTATACGTATACGTATATTAATATAAATATACATACATATTGCATATAGTCAGTCACATTATATATATAACTTAACAATTGTTTTTAAACGTTTTAAAGCCGTTGGTGTAATTTTCATGAAACTAAAACGGCATATAAAGATAATAATAAGTGCGCATAAAATGAATACGTTTCTTCCACTTCTATTTGTATGTTTGGTAAGATCAAGTGCAGTGAAAAATAAAGACGAAACCGAGAATTGTGTGTTTTAAAAATTAAATTCGATTATATTTATAAAGTACATAGATATATATATATATATATATAATTGTTTTATCGCAGATATTATTTGAAAACGTCGACGTTTCGAGGGAGACCGAAGAAACGAAGAAACTTTCCGCGAGATTGTTGAAAAGAAACTCGCAATCACAAATAAGAGATGCCGATATTGAGAGATCGGACAGGATAAATCGTGGATTTGAGAAGATAATCGATTTCATCGATATCTTGAGCCAAATGAACAATTTTGTTTACGATAGAACCAGAAACACGATTCGCAAACTGAACGTGATATATGACTAGAAGAAAAATGAAGACTATCGCACATCTCGTTTCAGATCAAAATTATATGCGCGTATATTTTTTATACATATATATATATATATATATATATATATATATACTCTGTACTTTATGTATATTAGATATTATATACAATAAGAAAATTAACTTAAATACATTAAATAAAGCTATATATATATAGTTCTATAAAGAAACAATTATATTTATTAAATTTTTTAACTGCACTTAAAGCCTCTTGCACAATGGACGGAATAGCGATAGCGATAGAAATAACAAAAGTTTTAAAGAGTTTATATTTAAAAATAAAGGTAGGAACAGCGGAATCTAACATACAAAACTACACATGTATCAATGCGGATCAGAAAATCGGAATAAGCAATAGCGATAAAATTTCCGACGCGAGTTGGAATTCTGTGTTAAAAACTGTGTTATTTCTATCGCTATAGCTATTCCTTCCATTGTGCAAGGGGCTTAACTTATCTTTTTATATGAAGACTTAACGTTATAATTTGCGCACAGGAAACTATTTTCCTCCAAAAATCCCAAGAATACTCTAGTATATGGGACTGTAGTTCGAAACACATAAGAACGCGCGTGTATACAAAGCAGATTTTCTATTGGAACAATTATTGTATGTATCGTAAAATAAAGAGAGAACGCGCAGCAAAACCTCCCTGCATCTATCTCCCAATAATAACGTCACTTTGCAATCTGTGATTTGCGATCACATTGCAGACTCGGCTTTACGTGCCGTAGAAATTTCCCCAGCGAATCCCGAACGCCGATTCATCGGAAAACTTTAGTTGTAATATTCATAATAAAAAAAAAAAAAAAAAAAAAAAAAAAAAAAAAAAAAAAAAAAAAAAAAAAAAAAAAAAAAAGCTTGGAGCTGATAAATTGTTAATTTATTTTGATCAATGTTCACAACATACATAGAGATTACTTACGTACGTGTGTTTAATGTACGTAGCATTATGCGTGTATGCAATAAAATTTGTCTGTGGCTGGATATGCGTGTACCTATTGGAAGTGCAGTTAAGATGGGTCAATCGCCAGATGGCGACTGCATCTAAGCGTCATCGAGATCGAGTTGATTAAGGCGACTTGCTTATAGGTATGTTGCGAGGTTGCAATCTACGGGTATATCGTTTCGCCACGGATTCGACTCTGAGACTGCGCATGCGACACATCGTGCTTCCTGCATCCCGTCCTTCACAGCCTTTTAGTTGCGCTTTTGCAAGTATTTTCCTTTCTTACTGCTTTTACACGCACTTATTACAAGTAAGTACGTACTTCTGTCTAATACTACCCGNTTGTCTGGGGTACTTTGTTACTCCAGTTGGAGAAATCAACCATTTAACCGTTTAACGGTGAACATACCAAGAAAATCACTATTCAAGCTTAGAATGGCGTATGGACTATCTTGAGTCGGTCCTTTGAGCCACATATGCACCAAACCATCGTTTCGCCACATGTTAATTAAGTAAAACAAGGACAGATAGAAACGCACATTCTCGCTAACTGGTACGTGGTTTTTTGCGGAGTGTCTATTGTTATCTCTCAGACTTTCTTCTCTCACCTTTGTCGGCCGTGATTTCGGTTACTCGCGTTTAACTTCCTGGCTCTCTCTCTCTCTCTCTCTCTTCTCTCTCTCTCTCTCTCTCTTCCTCTCTTGCTCTCGCTCTATCTCTCTCTGTCACTCGTCACGTTACGTCACGGAATCATCGACAAGTCAACGGATAGAACCGTGAACAGATAGAACCTACCTACAACCAGGTACAACCGTGCGTTGGTGTATCGGTTGGAGCTAGCTCGTGCGGCCAGTCGCGACCGTTTATATATATACGTGTATTTAAATAAAATCCACAGGCGCGTGTTTTTGTGTAACAGATTTTTTTTCTTTTTTTCATATAGCCGCAGCTGCGATCGCGCGACAACGTTCGATCGCGCTGGAGAGTCAACGCTGCACCAAAAGATCGTGCGCTATCTCGCTCCACGCGCGTTTTTCCATCTCGCACATTTGCGCTCTCTCGAAATTTCGCATTCTCTGGCTTCCTCGAGCATAACCTAAAAAGGCGATCGTGAATGTTGATAGCTTCTCATAACGGCCCCTCTCTCGTCGTCTCTCTTCACTTAAACTTCGCTCCGCAGATTCGTGAAAGATCACGCGTTGCCGACATCACGAAAGACGTTCGTATTAAGATACGTACGCAGCAGCAATTGCTGCACCCGTCGCACTCGTCTACGTACGAGAATACAGATCTTTTCGACGTCGAGCGGTCACCGTAAAAATAGTCAAAATTCCGGTCCCTACTAGGAGACAAGAGGGCCCCCATCAAACAGGCGGCAGGAATTCGGTTACTGGCGAAGAGTCGTCGAACAAAATGAATAGCAAGAGGAAGAATCGTTCCAACAATAACAGGTACTGCCAATCTCTTTCTGGCTTTCCTCGCCAAGATCATAATAGCAGGTATAATATACAACCTTTGCAATATAATTGTCGATAATAAAAAATAATGTTTGTTTTTTTGATCCGCACATTCTTCCAGATCTCCACGGTCGCGAGGCCCACAAGAAAGGTCTGTCGCAGCAGATGGAATATATAATAACGGACTTTTTATGCATGTTGTCACAAAAAATGTTGGGAATACATCACAAGTATATAAAAAATACATTTATATATATGATTATACAATAGTTGGCAATATTTTGAGATTTTTAACAAAGAGAATTATTTATTATATTCTATGCATTATCATTGTAGGTACAAACTCAAAACGGCTCCAAATTTGATGGTATATTCAGAACATTTTCCAGTCAATTTGAAGTAGTGCTAGAAATGGCACATCGTGTAGAAAATTCTGAAAAGATTAATATAGATAGTGTGATAGAAAAATTAATTTTTAAATCCAACGATATTGTTACGATACATTTTAAAGATGTTGATTTAGATTTTGCTACAAGAGATACTTTCCAAACGGACACATCCATCAGTAAATTTAATGGAGTAGTGGGTGAGAAGGAATTGGAACCTTGGGACGAACCAGCTGCTATAAATGGAGCTGACTTAGAACTGGATGGCGCAGCTGTAAGTTTTGCACATCTATGTTTGAACGAATGAGGATGTGCGCTCTGCGCACAATAGAGAAAACAATAATAGGAATAATTTATTAAATATTTGGAAGAGGAATTTGAAATAATGTTACATTACATAAGAGAACGGAATAAATTAATTATTCCAAATTCTTATTTTTTAATTTATGATGCATTAATTTATTCTATTTTCTTGTTTGTGTAAAGAAATAAATATTTTATTTAATATTTATTCCTATTTCTAATATTTTGTCTATTGTGCGCAGGGCCTGAATTGCATTAAAAATTATCTAATTTTTAGAATGGTTGGGACGTTAACGAGATGTTCCGTAAAAATGAACAAGATTATGGTGTTCAAACAACATTCGAGCCTTCTTTAGTAGGTTATACTTTACAACTTCAGCGTAAAGACACAAAAGATTATAAAGAACAAGAACAGAAAGCAGCTGAAATAGCAAACGAAATCGAATCTCAACCGAATCACAAAGCTAGATTGGAATTGGAAAATGGTGACGAAGAGGAAAGATTCGCAGCTGTGGTAACTTTTAGTTATATTGTAAGATTTTACGTTTTCTTTGTTGAAATACTGTATCGATCATCTAATTCTAGGCAAGACCTACCGAGGGAAAGTATATTCCTCCGCCAATGAAAAAAAAAAACAATAATACAAGTAATGGTAAACTGATGAAACCAAGTGACTCTCCATCTTCGCCTGGAAGCACAAACAAAAATATATATAATCAACCATCTCCGTCCACGGTTAATGTAAATGTCCCCCAATCAAATATGTCGGGTGGAGTACAAACTGGTCATGCTTCGGTCCAACACCCGGTATCGCTAAATATGGGAATGCCACCCAATGGAGTGGTTGTAGCATATAATAATCCGCCGCCGCCGTTTGTTACACCGACCACACAATCACAACAAAGTATGTCAACTAATTAATTTTTTCAAGAAGAGGAGAGAATCTAAACAAAAAAAAACTTTTATTATATATTAGAAAATAAATTTTTAGAAAAATTATTTATATTTGTTTTTTAACCTAATAATAATAATAGACACTGGCTTTTTGTATATAACAAACATGGTGATAGAGCTAGTCTAGCAATTTCTTACGGAGAAAAAAAATCTAGCGAAAAAGAATCTTGATTTAACGAGATTTATGTGCAAAAGATGTGGAATAACAATTGTTTTCTTTGTAGTAATGCAGGGTCAACTTCCCTCATTACCACAAGTAGGCTTTTCGTCGCAGCAGCAGCAACAGCAGCAACAACAACAGCAGCAGCAGCAGCAGCAGCAACAACCACAACAACAACAACAACAAACTCCTTCGACCAAAGTAAACACGGAGAAACGCGAACGATCAGGCAGGCAACAAGTTTATCAGTCTGATAAAGCGCCACCAGCGCCATTTTCTCAATCAAACACCGCGTCTTCTCACCAACAACACACATCGTTGCCACAGCAAAATTCCGTTGAAGGGCAAATAGTTATACACAAATCGCAGGATCATAGGAAGGTACATACTTTTGCTAAGAAAAACAATTGTCAAATTAAGTTGCAAAACGGGGCTTATATAATATATAAGTCGCAGGATCACAAAAAGGTAACATACTTTTGAAAAAACAATTTGTAAATCCAAGATTTACACTTGTTAATTTTCACAAAACAGACCTTATATAATTTATATTTAAATAAATTTTGTTTAAAGGTGCCAACACCACGGGGAAGAGATTCCGAGCATTCAGAATTGAGACAGTTCGCTACAGATTTCAAATTGCCAGAATCACAAGGGCCAGATACACCCCAGATTCCAAGAAAACAGCAACATCATCATCAGCAGGATGTACATTCTACTACTCCGATAAATCAATCGCATCATCAATCACATACAAGTCAACAGCAACAATCGTCGCAACCACCACCAACGCAGCAACAGCATGCCAGCTCTCATCAACATCAAAGTATTCAAGAAGAATCTGTTATTACCAGTAAGCCGCCACCTGGTCCACTAGTGGTAAGGTCGACAAGTCCCCATCAACAGCAACAAACTCAAACTATCACTCCGACAGTACAACAATCATCTCCACCGGAACCCGCAGTCGATAAAATAACTACTGCTTTCAAGAAATCTACTTTAAATCCAAATGCTAAAGAATTTAACCCGAACGCAAAACCGTTTACACCGGTAAGTAACAGTAAGATCATTCGATTTGTCAGAAAGTTAATTTTGAGTGAAAATAACTAAATGTGTGTTTATATGTAATTACGCAGCGCTCGCCCAGTACACCGACACCTAGTCGACCGCATACACCTCAAACTCCTCAATACACAGGAGCAACGATGTCCGCGAGTGTAGTAGTGCCAGCGTATGTGACACCAGCTTTCAGCCAACCACCCACTCAACCTGTAACACGATTCAGAAAGGGTTAGTATTTCTTATATGTTGCAAGTTTCGAAGTTTTCCTGCAAAGATATATAACCAACCTAATCTAACCTAATGATAATTTGTTACAGTGCCGATGATGCAACGAGCACCACCGGATTTAGCGTCCCAAATGCAAGTGGCGGCTGCGACGGGACAGCCGTTATTGGCACCAGCCTTACATCCGCCATTCCAGGTACCCTATCCAGGACAACCAGCGTATCAGCAAATGGTGCGCATGGTCCAGGCACCTCCGCCACCGCCACACATGGCTACGCCGTATCATCATCATCACGATTCCCAAGGGCCGCAAGCTCCCGGTATACAATACATGGGTCCGCACGGCCATCCTCATGCACATGTACCTCAACAACCGCCCAGTCAGACGCAGTCCCCTGCCAATCCTAATCAACCTCACACACCAGGTGCTTATAATCCACCTGGAACGCCGCAACCTGCGGCGCCGTATGCGCAACCTCCACCCCAAAGTCACGCTCCGAGCTATCCTATTATGTGCCCTATAATGCCGCCACATATACCGATAGCGCCACAACACATGCAGTATCTGCCAGCACAACCACCTCCCGGTGCACAGCAAACTATACCAGTTATTTTACCGCACAATCAGTAGCCGCGACGTCATCTAAGCGAAGAAAGAGAAAAATGTTAGTATTCTGTAATAGAATAAGACTTTCGACATTTAGTTACTTTCATGATGGTATATTATTTCGCTTGCGCTATCTTCTCTCTCTTTTTTTCTCTCTCTCTCTCTCTTTCTCTCTATCTCCTTCTCTCGCGCGCGTCTACAATCTCTCTGCTTCAATTTATTTAAACGATCCTTTGCTACCTCAGTAGTATAAATTAAGGCTTCTAGTTGTAGCCAATATTGAGTAATTATATTAGAAATGAGAAACAATAGAAGTTTTTTCCATACAATTTACACCGAAATAAATTAAGTTTTTCGACCTATGTGCCCGTCATCGGCGTTCGGGAGCATGAAGTATGTCGACAAACAACTTTCCAAATCTTCGACTCGTCATTGATATGTGTATAAATAATGTCTATACATAAAATATCTATATACATAAAGCATCTATATGTACATAAAGTCTTGATGCATTTTTGTAAAGCCTATTTTTGCTGGGAATGTCTATATGATAGACTGAATTTATTTGTCTGGGTTTATTAATGCAGGATAATAAAGCAAAAATGTTCACAAATAAAAAGAGAGCCAAATACAAGCCGTAAACAGAATGTCCGTGTTTTGATGATTTGTTCACTTTTTTGACGGCAAACGTTTCAATCCGCATTAGGATCTTCTTCAGTGACAATCTCGATTAAAATAACGTTTACGGTTTATATCGGCCCTCTCTTTTCACTTGTGAATTTTCACGAGCGAAAGAATTTTATATAAAAATGTTCACGTTTCAGCAATTTTACATTATTGAACGCCGATGTTGATATGTTATAAAACAAGTAGTTTATTTGGATGTGAATTGTATGAAGTGACATAAACCCGAGATAATTTCTCGCTTCTGCCGTCATATGAATGCGACGAGTATCCAGAGAAGCCTTAAAAATAAACAATCGTCACAACTTTCTACAATGATGAACGATTTGAAATTTTTACATATTTTGCTGCAATGAGAGAAAAAAGATATTTTTAATAAACGTACGCGAAGTAATATATATTATAATATGTGTGATAATATTCTAAATGGCGCGTTTTAATAAAAAAAAGTTAATTTTTCCAAACAAGCCGAAGATGTCAACCATCTTGAAAGTAACTTTTCCTTTATAAATATAGGTCAGTTATCAAAGAAAATGACCTATATAAATGTAACCTGTATTATTGAGTCCCTCAACCAATTTCATCGTTGATGAAATATAATTTCAATCAAGTTTTAAAAATTGCAAAAACGATCGTTTATCGTTACAAAATTTCGTAATAAAAATCTCCGAAAAATCAAATTTACTTTAACCGAATTAGCGTCTCAAATATGCGAGAACATATTCGAGATTTCTCTGTAATATCATACAATTTTTATTGTGTATTGTCTGTACAATGTTACGAGGGACACTCGTTTAATAAACGTATTTTACATTCAGAAAATCTGAAATATATACATATGTAGCTCGCACTACTTCCATGGAACAAAAAATTCATAATAAAACAAAATCCAGCCGAAAATCGAAATCTACTTGCGCAAAACTAATTTATATTTTCTCTTAGTTAATTATTTTTTAACTATAAAAAACATTAATTTAAAAATTAGGTGAATATATATATATATATATATATGTATATACGTATATATATATATATATACGTACACATATATATATATGTATAAAATTTGTTTGCTGGCTGGATGTTGATTTCATTTTTGCAAAGAATTATACGAAAATCTAGAAAAAAAAGGAATAAGATGATATAGTAATTCCATACATGGTGATATATGAAAGAAACAAGCGATATTTAAAACGCGAAGTGGAGTGCCAGGGTATCACTAGCGGAATATTCGATTCTGCAATTTGTTGATAATGAGTTTTGTTAGACATGTTGATAGACGCAAGATTTTCGAAATGTGAAAGACTATATACCGTGCATGCAAAAATAAACTATCCGCATACGAAATCGCGCGCTCACATGTTAACGGGTGCGAACCACAGTCATTCGAAAGGTACATGATTTTGCATATCGAGTAACATATGTATGTAGATTTCAATTGATTAATTTTCAAAAATATAAATTTTGTAATACTGTTATATACTATATACTTTAGATTAGCAAAATCAAATGTTTTTTTTTTTGTTGTATGTTTACAATGCTCCGACAACCGTAAAACGGAAACTAAAAAAAAGATACATTATTAACATTAATATGATTTGAATTGAGTGACGCAATACAAGTATTATATATATTACTTGAGTCGGTTTTAGAAAAACAAAAACGCTATAAAATCAATTAGCTTTGTTATCACAAATCCCGAATTATAAAGAATCGTGTACATATTTATTAATATGTTCTTATGAAACATTTATTTAATCAATATAAGATCTCACTTTGTCTTGAACGAAGATTGCATAAAATAATTGCCAATAATAACGTGATAAAAAAAAAGACCGTAACAATATTCTTTTCTCATATAAAAAATCTATTTTTTTTAAATTTTTTATATCGAGACTCTTATCTCAGACTTGTTCCGCAGAATCTGTCATTTAATAATTTTTCAGAAATCTATTTTTTTGGAGGAACAAAAAAGAATATTTGTACATATAATTGTTTTATATAAACTACATGATTTTATAAAGGTTTTATAAAACATTTTTTTATATCTTCAAATTGGCAATTATTTTGCACGGTTTTCGTGTGTAAAACATTTTATGTATGCTTCTGTTTGTTACGTTATGACGATCAATCGTTGTTGTGTGCGTATGTATGTGTGTATGTATGTGTGAGATACGTATGTATATATATTTGATTATATATTAAAAATTACCATTCTTTATTATGACATAAATCGGAGCAATGTAACTGATTTATATACACGAATTATTTGGTACCTCGTGTATCTTTTATTTAACGTTAACATAATATACAAAACAAAGAACAAACAAATGCTCGATATGTCATGGACCTAAGAATATGGTTCTGAATGTAGCGTGTATTGCCAATCAAGACAGATAGTGTAAATTCAATTTGGGAGCAAAGGGAAATCAGACCTTCTCGAGAATCGGTTCACACGAATAAAGCTTTTCTTGTGTAAAATTTAAATACAATTTATGTATTTGGAAACGCGTGCAACACGTAATATCGAATTGAACCGAAAAGGCCTGATGCATAAATCCTCTGCGTTCCTCCCTTCCCTACTTCTCTACTCCTAAATAAATATTGCTTACAATTTATTAAAGCTTCGTTCAGATGATTCTTTGGTCTATGTTCAAGTAATAACGATTGGGAAAAGAAAGTTAAACAACTACGGCCTTAGACCTAATCGTGTATATAAACGGAAGGAAGCAAGAACAACTTTTGCCTGAGAGAGATAATTGAGTGTGTGGCATCGTTAAAAAAATTTTATATCGAAGAGATTTAAAAAAAAAAAAAAAAAAAAGAAACATCAAAATAAAATCAATACGTTAAAACCAACACTTTCCTGGTACGTTTTCTTTGTCTGACCCCCAACATCTTAATTCCCACTTTACAAAGAATTTCGTCTATTGCACAAAACACAAAGTTATCTCTTAAATACAAGGATTCTTGAAAAAAATAAATGTTTACAGCAAATACAATACACAGCCTTTATTTTCTGAGAGACAGCTTATAAAATAATTTTTATAAACTATAAATATAGAGAGTGCAAATATAATCACGTGTGTACACATGTAAAGCGAAAAAAAAAAGTGATTCTAAATCTAATATTCGGATATGATTCGTCGCGATCGCATTTGATGTAAACAGAGAAAAATATAAGATAGATATCTATCCTGTCAATTGCGTGATAAAATGATGTCTTGGTCGTTCCAACATACAGAGTGTCCGGTAATAACCGATAATAACGGTAGCAACCGTCCAGACCTAGCAGGATGTCTCTCCTCGCACACGCTCACATTCGCGGATCGTTATAAATAAACTCACAAAATAGTAAAAGAGTTTTTGACTCACCACTCAACCCGCTTTAGTTGCCCGACAGATGATATAAATTATTACCGGACACCCTGTATATACAAATATGGATATTGCGCTTTTCTCTAGTGTGACGTGCGCGCATGTATGTATATCATACGTATTAAATGTGTATGTATATAAATACACATATACGCACACACATTATATATTTGGTACTAGATCATTGGTAACACAAAGACGTACGAATGTCTCTTGCAAAAAAAAAAAAAAAAGCTAGCAAGCAGCTCGCATTCTTCATACAATCACAAAATTTTATCAATTATTGTATCAAATTTCTTACATTGTAAATCGCGTTGTTTATATTATACATACATATTACACATATATGTATATATAAGTAATTGTCTCTTGTAGATCAGAGATAATCTTCTTGGGAACAAATGAGCGATAAGGATCCAAGATTTGAAATTAGAAAAAATTGAAAATTTTCAAATTAATTGATTTTGTGAGAAAACGTCCCATGTTTTCAAGATATATTACTTAAAAATGTCTCGATGTGTCGTGTGATGAAGTGATAAATTTGTATAACAGCGTTAAAAGAACGCCCTTGTAAAACTATGCACATTTCTTTTTTTACTTAAAAATAATACTAAAGTGATCAGCTAAAGCTATGCTGGTTTCGGATTGATTATCGTTCTCACGTGGATGGATTCGGACATATATAATTCGGCTACGTATAAACAGCATTATTATCCTGCGCGTCCGTCGCGGTCTCTTCGGATTCCTTAACGGATGAATTATTATTCGGTCCGATCTCGGCTGTATTGTAACCCGAGAACGAGCAATTAGGCGCGCTTCTGGCTTGACTTATCACCGTAGCCTCGGGTAGGAGTGACGTGCGCTCGGTCGCGCTTCCCCAAGCCTGCTGATATGCACCCCGTCCGCGTATTCTACGACTCAAGGACGAGCCAACGACACCCAAATGTTCCTTTATATCGTTATGCACGTCGGAAACGTCCCACATTGCTCTGAAACACGTAAAACACATTGGATATAAATTTTCAATACCTCGATGTTAGTGTAATTCTTTTTTTTTCTAATGTTTGTAATGTTCCTCATCGATTGCATTGCGTACCTAAATGCATCCCACCAGGCTTGACCCTGCGCCAAATTGACGAACGGTTTATAGGAAAAGCTGTAATGATGCGCTACCGCAGCTAAGAACATTTCTATACAAATTAGAAAATCCTGCAGTTTGGACGATATATTCCTAATGTGATCTGTGTCAACAGTATGAAAAATACTCGATATAATGTCAAAATATACCAACAGAGCTATCAACACTCCTTGACTGTAACGCAAAAGTGCAACATGTATTATTCTTTTTGTAGTTTGCACACATAGTTATCAAGATGCGTGAATACGTTATTAAATATCACCTACAAGAATGAGAAGAACACTACAGCTTTGATGCATAAGAATTTTCCAATCGGTTTCATGGGTTTCAATGCTTCCACGTTGGCACGATAAAAGAGTACAAGACAATACATGGCAACAAATTGTGACAGATTGTTCAAAGCAATCATATAAGGGAAAGCAACATCTCCTCTAAATTCACCTTCTCCATATACTCCGTTTAGTTCACAAATGCTGCAAAAATGCACGAAAAATTAAGGAATATTTTAAATTATTTGTACACGTAAGATAACACCATAAGATTAGATATAGTTTCAAAAACACTATCAATTTCTTACAATGATATTAAAGTCGATATAGGCCTGACAGCTGTGTATTGTAAAATTCCATGCTTGCACATGTGCACGAATTCTCTGCCCATTTCCCAATCAGGAAGACAGCACAGAGGAAACATGTGATGCACTTGTGGAGAGATTTCCAGTCTATGTTCCAACTGATGATCGGCATTTAAGTAGGCCAACAAATACATCATAAAATTATATATTACATAGGCTTCATAGCATTCTCTCAAGCTGTCCACATATATACTGCCCTCAGGATATACCAGACCTAACCACTGTATACAGAAAAAAAATATGTTATATCAATTGAACAAACATTTGATATAAATTTTAAGATAAAGATTTGTAATTTGTTCTTACAGCATTCACCGCATAGATAGGTACCATCCATAATATTCTGAAAAAAAAAAAGTAGCATTATATAAAGCGTGTGTAAATAACACAAGGAAATCTTAATTTTTTAATTTTTTTCAGAGGAAAAACCTACCTTATTATATATTTCTGTAATCTCGGCTGAGTGTAATATATCATATGCTGAACAATTTCGTAAAATGCAATGGGTAATGCCAGTAGAACAAAAGCACCGCCCACAAGGGCACCCTGGTCCTCCTTCTTGAAGTCATTCTTGATAGAATTGACTAATAAGATCGGCACGAGTATGACAATGAGCAGCGCATACAGACAGGTTAACACGGGCAATATCCATAATCTCCAGCGACGACAAATCGAAGCCATCACTTTTTTTGGATATCTCGGATGCTGTCACATTTTAATTTCAGACAGAATCCCGGACCCGCGCGATTCTGAAAGCAGAATCACTCGGTTTTCGGCCTGGATATTATCTCTTATTGTATGCTGATAACAGCACAACAATCTCATGGAAACAGCATGGATAAACATAAACTTTCCGACAATAAATCATTTACATCACCGTCTACTGTTCACTCAATATTTTTGCCCAACAAAAACACATTGTACATTCACCGTTTTCTTAACAAATTCTGCAAACCTTTAAACTGTCCACTCTTTGATAACAATCTTAGCAAATTCGCCGAAGGTACAAACAAGTACAAAGTACAAGAAGTTCTTTGTGCATATCATCGCACATACTAAAAATCACAAGATGTACAACAAGAATTATATTATTTAAAGAAGAAAATGTGCTGAGAAAAAAATTTCAAAAGAAACTGAAGACGCGTTAAAGACCAGAACCAAAAAATTGTTCCGGTGGAAGGGAAAATGAATCAGCTGATTGCGAGATTAAAAACCTAATACGTATGAACGCACTCCATTGGCTTGGTGTAAAAACTTTCTCCTTTTCCATTTAACCTTTTTCAATCTACAGAAAGTCATGTGAAAGTTGTGTACAGTACTTGACATAATACATAATGTATATATATATATATGTACGTGTAATATACAAGTGTACATATGCGTGGATGTGTGCGAATTATTTACTTTGTTTTAGCACAATTGAACGAACTCCTCTGACGGCAGTGAAGATGAAGTGCCGCAAATGTCACCGGTCGAGATGTTTCGCCGGTTTGACAGCGGCTTTTGTCACATCGAAAATTCACGCCCACGCGCACAACAACGCACACTCTCGTTATCGTGGGTATAGCGATTTAACATTTTCCGTCGTATTTCGTAATATTGGCCATTGAAAAGCGAAAGATTATTTCTTCCGGAAGAGGCATAACAAAATCAGTACTGCCAAAGTACAAAGCGGAAAATCAAAATTCGATTCGCGTGCAAATGGATAAACGAAGAAGTTTTTGGGATCTGTCGCATCGATTGCACGCGCGTACAAAACGAGATAAGATCGGAAAAAAGAGAGGAAAGAAAGAAATTAGACTATATATATATATTTTTTTTATACAAACGAAGAAACATATAATTATTAAAAACATCGGTTGATCTAGGATCTTATTCTGCTGACTCGAGCGAACGTTGGTCACACTATAAACGCAAAACTACGTTGATGGTGCGGGAGGATAACATCCGGTCTAATGGCGTCAAGAGCCAAACATTGTTGTCACATTTTGTCCTACAGTGTTTCAATATTTTGCTTTGTTTATGTTGGTCAAGTTTCGCGAAGATAGGACAGGATTTGCGATTGGGTGCGCTTAACACGCCGGATGGAGGTGAGGACGTGCAAATTGTTGCACGTGCGACGCATATCAAACTGGGAACGAGATTTTCCGAGTGGTATGGATGTAGTGACCTTGGTCTTGCTGTCAGATCAAAGGTGTATACACGCGGCAAATTTAAACCTGACTCGTGCCGTACATTGACACGAGTCGACGCAATTTTTTCGTCGTCTCAATGGAAAAAGGTGATTTTCGTAGATTTTCACGCGCAAATTAAAAAATTGTCGAATTTTTCTTACGTTATTGTCAGAATTCGAGGATTACCAGAGATCAAAATGAACAAAAATCTCCAAACTAATTCGTTTTTGTAATATTCTCTTGTTGTCGCAATAATTTTTATAATTTACTTTTTTTATATTAACTTTTTCTCTTCAAAATGATTTTCCACACAAAATCTAATTTTTGTTCATCACTGAATAAAGATTACTTTTGATTAAACAGAAAATAGAAAAAACAATATAAAAAGAAGGTGGAAATATATTAATGTTTTTTTTAAGTTAATTCACATTTTAGGTGCAAACAACTGATTTTATAACAATATTCAATTTCAATATAATATTTATTATATTGAAAATGGCTTTGCAAAGTGCGACAGAAGAGGCGCAAACTTTGCTTCTGGAAGGAGTGGAAGGTGCTCCGTGTCAATTTATTATTCAGAGAAGCGATGGAGAATCACTAAGCAAAGGAGTACCATTGTTTACTCTGAGCGGAGAATTAATATCAGAAGGCATGGTAGTCGACATGATCAATGCTGATGTTAGCACAGATTATAACACGAGTACTCAGTATTATGAAGCGGACGACTTGTTGACTCATGGTTTGACAGAGGTTGTAGTATGCTGCCTAATACTTCCAAGACTAGTGCAGTTTTATATTTTGCATATAGAATGTCAATTGTGTGATGCAGGATGACCGTAGACTTGCTGCGGCGCTTGTTGCAGTGCAGTTGCATCAGCAGCAGAAGCAGCAGCAAATCAACGTTCAGCACGAAGACTCAACTTTGTCGGATGTTTCTCATCTGGAGACTCTAGCGCCGGTGAATTCGTATACTATTCATACTATTCCAGAACCAAATAGCACCGCGTCTATATATACGCAAACTTTGCAACCTTTCACAAGGATTCCGCAAAGTTTGAAGCAAGAGTTTATCAATGTCAAAAGCGAGTATGACATTGAGGTTTCTACGGAGAGCAGCGAGGACGCAACATCAGCATCCGGGCCTAAGAGAACCTTGCCACACAAAAAACGAATATCTCGCAAGCTAAAGCAACCGCAGACAAAAAAGAACGCAACGCGGAAGGATAATAGCAAATCGAGTCAAGAAAATTCAACTGAATTTAATAACGAAGTTCAGGCTAATGTCTTTAAGTGTCAAATATGTAGTTCCAAGTTTAGCAGTCAGTTGAAATTCTTTGAACATTTAAAGGTGTGCATTTGCATTAATTAACCAACTATTCTAAAGTGTCTGTTATATAATTCATCGATCGTGGTGTAATTAATTTGTTCGCGCGCACATTTGTTTTTAGATCTGTGAAACAAATGAGCGATCTTTTCGCTGCGCGATTAACGCCGCGATAAAATAACCGCTCGTATGCTTTATTATACAAATACCTTAAATAATATTAAAAATGAAATAATGTTTTGTAGGTGCATTATGAGCCCGTAAAACAGGAGACGCGAATAGCTCAGGCGACAAATACCAATATTACAATATCGGTTCCAGAAACAGTTCATACTTTAGAGAACACTGTAATTGAAGAATTCAGCGAGCCTGAAGATCTTATGGAAGGTATTCGAGGAGTAGGTAAGAAAAACATCACGCGCTCTGACACACATTAATACAATCGAAAAGTTTTTACTGTAAAAAATAGTTTTTTTTATTGTTTTAATTTCTCTGCCCATAGTGGAAGAAACCGGTGCGCACATTGACGACGACACAGATTCAGTACTGCCTTCTACAAATAACGAATCGACAATGTGGGCAATTACAGACGTTACGGAACAGGTGCAACAGAAGGACCAGGAAATTAGACCGCCGTCCGTTAACGATAACAAAAGCTCGGAAGAAAAGTCAAAGACTGACATTCCATACACAGCTAAGAAAAAGAAATCACCGAAAGCGCGGAAATCAAGTTCGTTTCAAAATTTTTGCTACGTTTTTTTTTTCGCACCGAAGCTGCGAAATTTTCAAAAATTTTATCAACTATTTTCTCTCGCAGGTGACGGATTAACGTGTCTTCAGTGCAATCGGTCGTTCCATCATAAAAACAGCTTGGTCTACCATATGCGCTCCCATAGCGGAGAGCGGCCGCATCAGTGTGACATTTGTAATAAACGTTTTTTCGCTGCTAGCGCGTTAAAGGTAAGTAGTAGCGATATTGTTCGCAAATAATATCTATAAAATTTTAGACGATCTATTATTTTTGTTACTAACAAATCAAATATTTTGTTTAACAAAACAAACAGGTACACAAAAGACTTCATAGCGGTGACAAACCGTACAAATGTGAGGTGTGCGGCCGACATTTTCGTCAATGGGGCGATTTGAAATATCACTCAACGAGTCTTCACTCGGAGCACAAGCAGTACCAGTGTGAATTCTGCGCGAAGGAATTCGCTCGAAAGTATTCGTTGATTGTGCACAGGCGTATACACACGGGCGAAAAGAATTATCGCTGCGAATACTGCAGCAAAACGTTCAGGGCGAGCAGTTATCTGCAGAATCACAGACGCATACACACCGGGGAGAAGCCGCACGCGTGTGTGGTATGCGGCAAACCGTTCAGAGTGCGAAGCGACATGAAGAGACACATGCACACTCATTCGCGAACGAAAACAAATGAAAAACAATTGTCGTCAACAAACAAAATCGTTGCGGGAAAACATGCGATCGATACGGAAAGCATCGATAAAAAAGCAGCACACGCAAAAACGATACAGGATCTCGTGAGAGATCTAAAGTTGGAGGTAGACGCGACAGGTGTGGTAGAGATTGTCGCTCCCGATGATAATCCGGAAACTATTTTGCCGCATACGAGCGGACAAAATTTGGAATATACCGTAACATCCACAGCAGACACGGCGGCCGCGGATAGAGATCCTCTGGAAGCTGTCGTGCGAACGAACGATAACATGTAAGTAAGATAAAAATCATATTTTTGTGTGTAAATTAATTTTATATCTTTGTGTGTTTTTTTTTAATATATACTTACTTAATATTACTTAATTTGTGTGTAGTGACTTGTCATTTTACTGTGTTTTTACAGACAGTACTTTTTTATGTAATTTCGGAACGTGAGGAAAGAGATACATCCTTTGTGCAAACTTGAGCGCGATAACCATCGACATCTTGGCGTTAGATAGTCCGTAACGCGCTGGTTACAAAGTGACTTTTTTAATAGACCCAGCTGTTTGAAAATATATATGTTGAATACATACTTCTAGTGAATTGCGCGCGCGTTTATGCACACATCTATATCTACAATTGCATTTTGGAATAAACATTGTTTTATTATTGGATAAAGTTTGTCATAAGATTTTTTGAAACTTTTATACAAAAGTGTACATATAAACATCTATATATATATATATATATATTGCCTTTGAGACACTTTAATGTAGAACTGATAAGAACAAATTGACATTAAAAAAAAAAAAAAAAAAAAAAAAAAAAAAAGTGCTGCCTACTTATATAAGATATTATCTTTTTACTTTTATCTTCGAGAAGGAAATAAATTATTTATAATATATTCAAGATTGGATACAACAGTCAATCAAGTTTGCCGAATGAGGGAGAGCAAGATTTGTAAAAAAAAAAAAAAAAAACATGTCATTTATGTCTATATAAAAATACATATACACGTATTATATAGATAAATGCTAAACCATTATTGTACATTTACAAGTCTAGGCAATTTAGCGAGTTATACATTGTGTACGTCGTTAAAAAAAAAAAAATCTATTTTTTACTTGAAAACAAAAATATAGTTTATAAACACAGAAATAAATATTGGTCGACGTTTCTTTTTCACTCTCCGCGCGTGTTATTCTTCTAAATCGCCGCAGGTAGAAAACTGGTCGACACAGTCGTGTCCGTTTTGCCGATGAAAACTTGCAAGAGCATAGCTTGGTCTCTGGATTCGAGAGCGTCCTTGAGTTTTGCCGCAGCCTCCTTGCCGCTGATTCTAAAAAAAAAAAACAAATACATCGTCACAGCATCGCACAGCTTGTGATTCTCATAGAAGATTCTATTGTTACCTTCGAGATCGTTTAGCTCTTTCCCAATCCACATACAGATCCGTGATAATCGCGTGCAATCTGTTCAGAATCTCGGCATCTTTCGCAAGAAGCGATCTTATCTCTGTCTCCTTTTGCAACAAATCCTGATATTCGGAACACAAATTCTCCCGGGGATTCGATTTGAGTTCCCACTCATCGAGAGCGTCCAGAATGTTTATTTTCTCGATTAATTCGTGAGTTGCGTTCAGTCGCGGGAGAATCAGCTCAAGAACTCTGGATATACTTCCTTCTGCTACTTCTGAAAAAAAGAAAAAAAAAAAGATTTACATGCGACTTATGTGTTTATTTTAAGATTTCAAAAGAACATACACACATATCCACGCAAAACAAACACTACCGCAAAATACGTCCAGTTTGATCTTTCGCTTTGTCGCCTCTTTGGTCAATATGTCTCTGAGAATTATGATGCTGGATATGTTCTCGCCGAGAAAAAGCGCGCTTCCTTTCCTGCGCGATTTCACGAACAATATAAATGACGAGTAAAAAATTAAATTTTGTTCTTTCTAGGATGCGTGATCTTACTTGTATTTGCATCTGAGAACTGTTCCGATGAAAGATGAGACGTATGTTAAAACAGCTTCGTTCTCGTGAATGTGAGGCCTTTCGGGCACGTCTGGCAATGCCATTGAAAGCCACGCGTGCATCTAGTGACAAAGATCACGTGTGTCTGTGAATGAATGTAAAGAAGAAAAAAGAAAAAACCTTTAATTCTCGTGAGATTAAATTTAAATACTTAAAAATCACAAAAAAAGCGACACCTCAGCGATCGTGAAATTGCCATTTAATTTTAATTCATTAAACGGACCGCTAAGCTGCGTGGCGTCGTTTTCTTCGTACTGCCGGACGTGCAGCGACAATGCGTAAATAGGCGCGGAAATTTTGCGACATCGTTTTGGCTGCACCTATAAACATTAATCACATCTCTGTGCGTATATAATAAAAAAATATCAATCTATGTAATTGCGTATATTTAGAGAAAACACAGAAGCAGTAAAAAAGATACCTGAGATGTTACGTAAATTTGCAAAGTACCCGGCTGACCTTCGATGGATCTGAATCGCATTTCCAGACGATTCGTGTTAATCTATTTACAAATAATCTTTCGTAAAGAAACGTAATATTTTTTTCTCTTTTGTTTTTCTTTCTTTAGCTACAAAAAATAAAAAAAACATTCGCATCATACTTGGCATCTGTAAGTGGCAAGAACAAAATTGCCCTCTCTGGGATCGCAGGCGGACAGACTGACCACCGCGCTATTATTCTCCGTTTCTAAAAGATCGACAGGCGTATCTGATTGTATCAGAACATTGTCGATCGACGCGTCCAGCTCCACGTATAAAGAATACGAAGCGTCCTCTTTGTTCAGCATCATCCTGCAAATAAAAATATTATTTTACATTTCAATTGTTCTCTTTTAAAAAGAGAGAAAATTGCTAAGTCAATATTTTACATCGCGCAACAACGCACAAAAAAACAAAATTTGTGTGGTTGAAGTTACTTGTAATTTACTGCTAGGATCAAGGGTGCTAGAGGGTCCGGCATAAAACCGGACGACTCCTTTTCCTCGTTGAGCCTCTCCTGGAGTTGCTGTATCTCTTGTTTCAGTCGGGCCATGCCAACGTCGCTCTGACCCGCTTCCAACAAACCAGGTGGACTCGTAGTCAATCCGAACACTCGGCCGGAATAAGTCGTAACAAGTACCTCGGGATAATTGGCAATCCCAATAATTCCACCCACAACTGTACTGATACTTTCGCCGGCGTTCTGCAAACGATTCACACTTTTCCGATCGATCTGTAATTTCGATTAAAACTCCGCGATCTGATCGTAATTCAATTCAATGAATCATTTACGTAATGATAGCGCAGGGTGGATGTCATATCCTCATCGGGAAACGTGTACACTTCAACGATACCGTCCTGACGACCTACGAGAATATCTATACCATCTTGCAACTGATAAGTATCCAGCGACGTGATTCCCGAACCCGTCGAAGTTAGCAACCAGGTGATTCGGAGAGTTTTATTACTCTGGAGAATCAAAAGTCCGATTCTACCATCCGCAGTACCGACTAAGACGCGATCCCTGGAGTATAATTCTCCCTCTCTAAGATAATAAAACGTGTTGTGATTTACATGTAACAAGAGCATAATTCTTATATTAAGCAATTTTTTTAAGATTTGTTGCGTCTGTTGTGTTAATGATATATGATTTCGCTATACCTATACACCGAAAGCACCGTGGGAGCGCTTGGTAATCTCAGAACCGTCGGACTTGTTGTGCCGTGCAGAACGCGTACCTTTCGAAAAAGCGAAACGATAAGTCGTTATTGCAGATCTCTCGTGCAATTGATGAAAAAGTAATAAAGAAAACCTCTTACCGCGCAATCTGCGCAAGCGAGGATGGCATACACCACGTTGTAGTCTCCCGACAAGAGCACGACATCGTGCAACGTTTCTCCGGCCAGATAAGAATCGGCGTCTTTGCAATCCCGATACCTGTGATAAAGATCACGCGCGCAAGCTGCGAGATCGGGACCGAGAACGTATCTGTGCGAATGTGCGAGAGACATATATACAGCCAACTGAGCGCAAGTTGTTGGCAACTTGCCACAAATATTGCTCATAAGTTTTCAAGCGATGCAACAAAATGGGGTGTTCTCTTTTCAGTACGTTTGTGCCAGCAACAGTTTTTAAAATATAATAAAAGCAAGTTCCCGCCAAACTAATCGGCAATATAAACTTATATTATTTTTCTCAACTAAAAATTATCGCTCGCATATTGCTGACTCACTTGTCACAAAACATTGGCTACAACAAATTGATTGACAACAAAACTCAGCATATTGTGACAACAGAAATTTGCGAGCAACTTAATCTATATACAATGATTTGCTTTATATTGAGTTTTTACGTTTGGCTATCTGTGGGTGTGTATATACAAACATATAACATAATCCACAAAGAAACGTGAAAATATTAAACTCACAGAGCGGAAATTGGATCTATTAGACTGGTATCGAACTCTAAAAACAATTTGCCCTTTTTCGTGAATCCCTTCACCGAGTTACCGTACGCCAGAAAAATCTTGTCCCTCGTCATATCTAACGATCCGCCCAGGACCATCTTGTGAATCTTCGGACCGGGCAGGGATTTGAATGACAACTGTAGCTCTCCTTTTTTCACGCCTGTGCGCTCGAACGAGGAGAGAAGATGAGAAATTATTTTGAATTAAAAAAAGAAATATATATACATATATATATAGTTTATTTAAATTAAAAGCAAATTCTCTGTGTGTACCGTAGATATGAAGTATGCCGTCGTGATCCGCGACGGCGAATTTTTGCGGCTGTTTCGTCGCTTCGTTAGGCGGAAATATAACGGTTGTGCCACGTGAGGTAACACCAACCGTCGTGTAATCTATCCTCGACAACGCCAACGTCATTGCAACGTGTCGACGAAGTATCCTGGATCTTGAATCGTTTTGTTTTTTCCTCGTCTCGGAAAATTGATAAACGGCAATTGTGTTTTTTCTTTCAGCTTCGAGTTGCTTTTCTTCCGGTCTACGCACGAAGTAGCGACCACCAGAGATAAATATCATCGCGACGATCGATTTAACCATAGCGACCTGGAAACACAACAAAAAAACCGGTGTTGTAATAAAATCGCGAAACAAAACTGAAACACACATGTCTGTTTCCAACGAACAACAAACAAAACGTCCGTAGGCGACGGTTTTTCGTGATGCGAATCTTTATCGTAAATTAAAAAAAATTATTTTACGAGCAATTATACACATAGGTATATTGTTGTACTCTTACGTGTGAATTGTACAAGATTTGAATTGAAATCGACTATCGACTATATCGTTCGAGAATATATCGATATTGGCAAGTCGAAGCAAATCTCGTTTTTAAAATACACACACGAGGAGAAACAAAACGTCTAATGTGAATTAAAAAACAAAAAAGGTTTTGCGTAACGTGCGTTCGAAAAAGTTGACTTGACATGTAATCTCTGCTGGTATTTTATGTAACATCTTGTTGCGTTATTGGAAAAAAAATTATAAGCAAAAAGATTAATATCGTGTTTGTGTTTTCGACACGACTGGTGTAAACGAGAGTCTAACCTATAAATAATGAGCAACAAAGCTAACAACGGAGGTAAATAATAATTGTCCTGATTATTCTTTGTGGTTTAAATGATAAATTAAAAATTTGAAAAATTTCCAAACGAAACGTTTTTTTTTGTAAAACCACTTTGTTGCGCGTGTCGATATTTTTCGTGACACAGGTGAAATAGATCCTGTGCAGGAACAGCTGACTGGCCGAGTGCGGGAAGTTGGGAATTATGCAATCTGGAGTTTGTCCAGCTGTAAACCCGGATTTGGGGTGGATCAATTAAGAGACGATATCACAGAAACTTACTGGCAATCGGACGGACAATTGCCGCATTTAGTGAATATTCAGTTCAAGAGAAAGACGACCATTCGTGACATATGCATCTACACAGATTACAAGCTGGATGAGAGCTACACTCCCAACAGGTAAAAAACTTCAGTTTCTGACACTCGATAGAAATAATATTAGTTTTTCAGTAATTAGTTGCTAATGCAGTATTTTTTTGGTCATATTTTAGAATAAGTATCAGAGCCGGAACTAATTTCAATGACCTTCAAGAAGTAGAAGTAATGGATTTGAATGAACCTAGTGGTTGGATTGTCATACCTATTAAAAATATTAATGACCGCCCTATCAGAACATTTATGATTCAAATAGCAGTAATTAGCAATCATCAAAATGGCAGAGACACTCACATGAGACAGATCAAGGTTCACAGTCCTGCGCAGGATATTCTTGGTCCACCAGCGCCTTATATCCCGGGACAATTTCTTACTAACGAATTTTTACGCTATGCCACTATAAGATAAGATATTAGAAGCCAGATATATAAGACTTAGTTAGGTATTTATTTAACTTATTAACATGTTCCACGCTAGAGTCTTTGTGTGTAATCTTTTATTTATTACATCTTTCAAGCATTACAAATGTGTATAAATAAATATAATATATATGATTTACTTTTAAACATTTATATGTGTTGACATTTATGTAAATATATCTTTTCTTCAACAGCAAAAATTGTAAATGTTTCGAAAGATCTGCCATTGACGGACCACGCGGCAGTGGAACATGTTAAGCAATAAGATATTTTATTTACTTGTTGCTTTACTTGAAGCTTTTAATAAAATTGCAAATACAAGAAAACTGAGTATTTAATAAAACAATAATCTGGAATAAGAAAAGAAGATTGCGACTAGAAATTTCTGGTATAAATGTATAATATAGCATATAAATGTACAAATATGATCATACATACACACGTGTTGTATGAATGGAATGGAATTTGGAAGTTGCTTTGTGTATAGAAAAACTATAAACACGATATTTGTGTGATATTCCATTTGAAGCCAACCTGAAGCCGTCGTTGAGTCAGTCGTAATCAGCAGCTTTAGGAGAGTAGATCGTGTGAATATGTTAGGACATTTCGTTCTATTTTTCACATTAGTATGTGTAACAAAATGCGAACATTCTCCTTCCGATTCATTGGGAGATTTGTATACAATATTGGATCAAACAACAGAATATTTTCATAATCTCAGCAATAGTAATATTTAATTTGTATTGTTTTTATATATTTATATATACGGTAAAAATTCTTTTTATTTATAAAATATTTGATATTTCTAGTGTATAAAGTATTAAACGTTGATACCTCGAATAACATTAACAATGCAATTAGCAAATATATGGAAAATACAACTCGAGCAATTCAACAAAGAAGTGAGCGTCGAAGAAGGAGTGTTCAAAATAATTTATCGCACAGTGAAGGTAAGCGAGGAATTTCAAGACAAAACGTATGATTTAAAAAAAAATGATTCGAGGAAATTTATATTGTGTATAAAATATATATTTAATATATATTTTTTTCTGTTTTTATGTGAAATTGTGTGTGTGTGTGTGTTAATCTGAAAGTTTGCTCAATTTTCCTTCGATACCGAAAAGTTCCTTGAACGCGTATTGACAATCGTGATCAGATAGATACTTGAGAAGTTGACCCATGTCATTGTGACGCTCGGTAGTGGGAAAAGAGACCTCTTGAAAATCTACGAACTTGCGCCTGCTGTCAACGCTGTCACAATCTTTCTCTTTTTCCAATAATTTTATCAATATTCTGTGCCAGTTCATAGCTTTAATCTGCAAGATGTAAGTTACCTCTAACACATTAAAAATACAAAAGTACAGATCAATCATTGATGTTAATATGAGAGATAAATCGTCAATGTTACATACTTTTTGCCAGCAATATTCGCAATCTTCTAGAGTTCCCTCCATGCAAATGATACCCGGTTTTCCAGCCAGACAAAATCCCGTGAGAGAGTTCTCTTTCGCCAGATTGGCCACATCTCGCCGCTTGAACTTGCTGTATATGTGATGACTGTAAATCCAATATCTGGAAAAGATAACCGTATCCTGATCCCTCGTGTCGGTTTTGTTGGAATCTTTACATTTAACGGACTGGTTAACAGCGTTGAGATAGATTTCCGCATTATCCTGCAGCCACGATATCAATGTGTATACACAAGGCTCTTCTGTCTCCTGTAGTTTCACGATAGCAGATAGTTCCTGATTCAACAGACACTGTTGCGTTCTGTCCAAGCGAGCACTTCTTGCATATACTTCAGGATGCTCTTTCGGATAGTTGGTTGGCAGGTTCACCAACAACTCGATACTCTCCTAAGAAAGACATAGTATAACATGTGTTATTTAATAATACATATCTCAGTAAAAATAGATTTATTTGAAAAAGCGAGATGTAGACTTGAACAATTTATAGAACATTGGAGTAAGAAAAAGTTCTTTCTTGAATATACATATAATGCGAATATTGTATTACACCGTTCAATGGGATCGCGATGGAGTATTCCAACCATCGCGGTGGATCTCGGTTGGGATGTTCGATGTACTCGTTGATATCGGCCAATATCCCGTGATCCGCCACGACCAGTTCGGTCGGGAAGACGGATTGGAGAGCCTGCAGTTCGTTTATCTGCGTCGTCAGATTTTCAGCCATTTCCTCTGGGCTTGACATGTTTTTCTTCACACAAACGACAATATATATATATATATACACACAACAAATCAACGAACTCGAAGAGTCTCGTTATGTTGAGAGTCAACAATTTGATTGATCCATCGTTGAACAAACATGACGATAACGAGATACGAATAAGTTTCTCATTATGTAAACACGACCAACGTTTTTGCGCGTTAAGGTTATCGAGAGATCAGCTGATACTGACAATTCAGAGAACACGGGAAATACATATACACACGCAGCGTACATACATACATTATTTACATATGTGTGTACACGTGTTTTTTAACTATAACTCCATTTCGAAATTTCGGAGCACATTGTATCACAAAATGTTTGTCTCGTACATACCCCCTTACATAATTTTCATTTTGCATTTATTTCTCCGTTTGCACGATGTAAATAAATGTTTTTTTAGCTTAACGAGCTACATATGGACGCTAACAAGCAATACAGTGTCAACACGTCGCTATTTTGAGTAAATTACGCCTTAAGATTAAAAAGAAAAATAAAAAAAAGATGTTTGTACATATTTTTGATGTATAAAAACATTTAAGTTTTTAAAAACACGATTGAGAAAACCACGTTCTCTGATAGCTAAAGAAACACGCTACATAAATATCTCAATATTTCATTTTTTTTTAGTTTACACTGTATTGTTTATTAACGTCCATATACAATGAAGAGAATATATGTAAAATTTTCTCATTAAAATCTCTTTTGAACTCTTTTATTCACAGATGTACTCGTATTTCAAAATTTTAAGGAGACTCTATCTCTCAATCTGACGGAATTCCAGGACGTAGATTTTTTTTCCACAAAAGATGAAGATCAACTATTCTGGTTTGCTCTTAATTCCTCAAACATACTGCTCTTCCAGTTAATTGTACGTAATAATAATTTATGTACCAGGTTTCATATAACAAACACGCTCTTATTTTATGCGTCCGAATAAATTACACGCGTTTTAAATATCGTCGTAAAAAAAATATAAACTATACTTTTTTTTTTTTTTATATATAGAACAACGAGCCGTATCTTTTGGGAACGTATTCGCAATCCGCCGGGAAACGGATAATGGTGAATAATTACGGACCAGGTACGCTTGTAATCGCGCAAAGGGACAACGACGCCATTGTCATTCTGCATTGCGACAAAAATGAAAGCGGAAATTACGAGTTGCAATTTAAGCAAGAGTTCGAAATTCCCGGAGTTACGCACACGAACACGTGGCTCTTTATGAATCAAGTTTATCTGGCGATCGCTACAAAAACGAACATCTTCGTGTACGCCTGGCTCGGTGAGCACTTCGACGTAATCGACACGATAACGTTCGGAGCGAGAAAAGTTCTGCTTTTTCAGAACAAGAGTTTCATGCACATTGTGGCTTTGGGTTTTCTAACGAAGATATTTCGATTTTCCGTGCGCTCGAACAAATTCATTGAAACGCAAAGATTGCGTTACGCCGAAGACGTCGATTCGTTTTACCTCAAGGAAAGTCACTTCGAGGAGCGATTTCTAATTCTGACCGGCAACGAATCCACGATCTTGTACAAAGAGACCCACGATCGCTTCGTGCCGTTTCAAAAAGTCGCCCCAACGAGATACGTTCGTTCCTCAACAATGGCGAACACCGTCGTTCTTTTTTTTGCCGATGAAAACACCATGAAAATTTATCAGTACAACGGTTGGAGATTTTTATTTTTAAGATCGCACACCGAACCGTTCGAGATCGGTCAAATTCATCGAATTCGCTCGCACGGCGAATACGTTTTGATACGAAATCAGAATGGAGAATGGAAGTTTCTGAAACCTATTTGGGAGACGAAGAAAACATGGAGAACGACGCAGAATGAAATCGACACTTGGTGTTCCGAGACGTTGAAAAAAATATCATCGAAAACCTTTGGAAACGTATCAAATTCTCCGAACAATCTTTTAATGCAGAATGCGTATATCGATCGGCTTCGCGTTCGGAATGTAAGAGCTATTTCTAGCAACGTAGATCTGTTGTTCTCATTTCGCTACATCTATCTTGAATTTCTTATCACAAGAGAATTATAAAAATATATTGCGTTATTTCGTGCGTATGCAAAATAACAAACATTTTGATTCGAATGTTGATTACAGATAAACGGACAAGATGCAGACGAATTGGTCCGCTTGACACGGCGATGCAAAATCACAATTGACAAATTGAATCAGATCGAAAGTCGTTTCGCGCGAGAAATTAACGTTGACAAAAATTCGGAATCTATGATTATACACGGCAAAAAACTCACAGTCAAGTGCAAGACAAATTGTTACGTCAATCGTTTGATTACGAAGAGTCAAATTAAATACGAGAATATCAAAAACGTCAAACAATCTGTTCGGAAGAGGTTCGATACGACAAAAGTTAACACGATAAATAACTGGAAATGTCCCGTTCCGAATATTAACGTGGACGATGTATTTGTGAAAGAATCCGTTAACGGAATATCGATGCAAAAATTGGAGAAAGAAACGTTGAGAATGTCGGGGGATCAAAATGTTTCAGGTAACTTCTCTCGAGAAAAAAATCTTTCCTACACACGGACAAAAATATTGTAATATAAAAAAATCTAAATGTTATATAACATAAAAAAAATCTAGTTTTGTATAATTATACAATCATATACACATGAGATCGTCTAAATCGTCTCTCTATATATAATTAAATAAAATTATTTGTATAAAAAACTCCGGATATGGAACGTTATTTTAGCAGTTTTGTTTATTTATTTATTTTTTGAATTTTAGGCAAACATATCTTCACCAATTTATACGCGACGAATGTTTCAATACCGTTAAATATCGTGACGAAGAACAACAAGAAGCAAATAGTGCAAATACAGGAGGCGAGAGTAAAAGAATTGCGTCTGACTGATGACAATTTCTTTTTGCCTGTAAATGGTTCCGCAATTGTAATGAATCATACGATAACTGCTCCGAGAGTACGAGTCACAAGAACGATCGATTTGCAAGCTGGAATAAAGGGCGAGGGACGTAAGAAGCTGGAACCCGTGAAGGATATTGTCACGTTCTTGACGTTATCCGGCGATCGGTTTCTGCAAAATGTGACGTTCACCAACATCGCCGAAGTTGGGGACGTTGTCAGAACACGATCAGACGGACGATCGCTGAAAGACATCGTAGAAAATATCATACCGTTAGATTCCGATGTTCCGACGCACCTGACGTTATCCGGCAATAAAACGGTATGTAATGTAATTTATATAAATTTATAATAAAAATCGTCACATCCCGCGCGCGTAATCGCGTTTCGAATTGATTGATATTATTACATATATGTTTTGCTTTCAGTCGTGGAACAACGTAACTTTGTCGAGCTACAATAAGACCTGGGTGACGAAGAATTCATCCGAGATCGTCGTTATTTCTGGGAAGAAATCCGCGCGCAATATTGTTCTGACCGACACCACCTACGCGAATCTTCCTCTTCCGAGGTGCGAAAAGTCTTTTTTAAGATTGCCAAAGATATTGCTCGCAAAAGTATCAAAAAACGTGTAAAAAAAAAAAAAAAAACGTGACAAATATCGTCTATTTCGTACAGATTGACGATTCCTTTGTGTGCTGCGATAGTTATCACTCCGGAAGTTACGACCTACTCAATGACAATTGACAAGCTGAAAGTGAAACATTTAAACGTTTCGCACATTTATGAAGCCTATGATTTGAATGCGACCGTTTTTGAGTTGGCGTCGACTTGGAACGACGTTGATTTCTCAACGAAGCTATTTACCGGACACGTTGTCGTAAAGAATATTTCGACAGCGAAGATCAGAGGAATGGATGAAATAGGTAAAAACGCGATTGAATTCAACGAATGAATTTTTCACGCACGATAATTATAAAATCATTTATATCGCGATAGACTTCAGCTCGGTCCGAATATACGAGTGGTTGGATGAAAATCGTCTCAAAGGACCTTTGAGCATTGAGAAGCTTTCTGTGAACAATCTCGAAACGGCCTATCTAAATCTTTCTTTACCTACGAGGGTAGGAAACGTGGTCGTAAAAGCGGACAGCAATATCAAAAAGATCAACAATATAGACATACAACTCTTTATGGAAAGTGTAGCGAAAGTGGATGATGCGATATCCTTGGAATACGCAACGTTCGGTGAGTCACGCGTTTTACTCTTCGCCTTGGTTTAGAAAACAAAATTAATTCGCAATTGTGTTTCCATTCTTTTGCAGCTAATAATTTTACATCGAACTATGTAAGCGCTCTCCGATCTACATTAGATTTTTCTTATTTTGACGCGCCTTTACATTTGCGCTCCAAACGGATTTCCACTACTTTAGAAACAAATGCAATAAACGTGCCTGCGACTTATTCTTTTGCGAGCGACGTTCCATCGACATTTATTGTACAAGGTACAACGAATGAAGAAAACATTGCGTTAAGTAATATAAGACTGCGGAAAAAGACGATTTTTCTTTTTTTTACCTAATCTGTATATTTTTATTTTTATAGGCTCGGTTAGATTTTTAAAAGAACCAACTGTGAAGAATATTAAGAATATAAATCTCAAACAGTTATCCGAAAATTTATGGATGGCGGATCGGGATACCGTTGTATCTGGTAGCAATGTTTATTTTACAAATATGAGTTTAAGAAACGCCGTAACGATAACCGACAGACACGTAAGGATAATGAAAAGCAATTGTGATTTATAAGAAAGATGATATAATAATAACACAATTCACAACACTAAAGATCATTTTTTTTCTACAGCATCCTGCAAATTCGTTATTTGTGAAAATGTGGTTAGACTTGTCAGACAGATTGTTGAGTAAAACGAGAAAACAACACATCGCCACAGTTTTGTCGTTTAAAAACGTTCAGGTGCCTTCTATTATCGCTGCGAACAATTCACGTATCCGATCTTCAGATTTGGAATTAAATGATTTGCTGGCCAACTCCTTGATGAGAAACAAACTTTGGGCCGCACAAAGCGTGAATATTTCTTGGCGTTTTAAAGAATTAGAGATAAGTAAGTAGAAAAGTAATATTGTATATATATATTTTTTTGTTTAAAAATCAACGAAAGAAAAGACAGTTAATTATTTCTTTCTTTAGACAGTTTAGATGGTATTCGTTGGAACGGAAGATTTAATGACTTGGACTTAAATACGGATGTCGTTAGACGCGATGCAAAATACAATGTTGTTACCGGAGAAAAGACAATTTCAGGTCTGATAGTTGAAGATCTTTGGTCATCGAATATCGAATTCTCGCAATTGGTTCACAACAGTCTAAGTCATAAATGTTACAACAAGCTAGTTGTAATCAAAGGTCGGAAAACCTTTATCAACATCACTTTGAACAACTTGAGGTAAATCAATAATATCAATGATAAAAAAAAAATTGTCTTGTTTTAAACACAATTAAAAAACCTGAGTTCTCTTTGTCAGTGTTAAAGGAGCGATTATGGGTCGAAAGGTCGAGGATATGTTATTAAAATCCGGGAATCAGAGAATATTCGGTATCCAAAGAATACAAGGCCAGTTTAACGTACCGACTCTTGTTACTAACAGCACCGTGAATGACGTGGATCTGTTCAAGTTAACAAACATTCAAGTGAAGAAACATAAAAAAGTGCAAACAATAGAAGGCGAGCTCGATTTCAGAAACGATCTTGAAATTCTTGGAAATGTCATCATCGATCAACTCTACGAAGGAATAAATTTAAAAGATAACAGTCGAGATAAATTTGATGTCGTCTTGGACAGAACAACGAAAATTATAAAGATCACGGAAAACGTATCGGCTGCGTTACAAAGTGAGTCACAAATGTAATGAAACAGTAACGTCGATGACGTGTAGAAGATTTTTTATTCAAATGTCTTTTACCTCTTTTTTAAAATACAGATCGTGCAATTTACGTGAATAAATTTGAAGCGACTGATGAGAATGCGTTCGAAGATATTTTTAACGCTTCTAACACCGAGAATGTGACAGATTCCAACAACATAGATCGCGCAATTTACGTGAATAAATTTGAAGCGACTGATGAGAATGCGTTCGAAGATATTTTTAACGCTTCTAACGCCGAGAATGTGACAGATTCTAACAACAACTGTCTCGAGTCAAATAATAATTCTTCACATTGCAACAATACTAAATTACTAAATATTCTCGTCGGTATAAATGCCGGCGTGTTTATGAAGAAGTTCGTACTGTTAGACGGTACGATGTTTGTAACAGTAATATCATCGGATTTTGTCTCGATTTCTTCGTACAACGATACTGAAGACCGACTCGATCAGAAAATACGTAAATGTCTCTTAATATTTTTTTTTGTTTGTTTAAAAAAAAAAAAGTACTTACAGTCTTACGTAGCCAGCGCGAGTGTCACTTATAATCGTGAAATTATTCGATCGACAGGATTGCACGTTCCCAATATACTTGAGGCATCTGTTGAGTCGGTTGGCAATTCGCTGTGGATTATTCTGCGTTTGGCGGAACAAACTTTGATATTGCGTTATCAAACATGGGACGAACTCGAACAATACACTTTGCCAGGCTCGGACGTGTTCGTAACCAGTGTAACACCGAACAATCAACATCTGCTGATACGATCCGACGGTATGTGGAGTTTCAAGGGAGCTTTTCGTCCCGAACACATCTTTAAAGTGCCTTTGAACGGACAAATACAGGTCTTTGCACATCAAGCTGATTACTATGTTAAAGCGACAACTGAAAACAGTACAGTTGTTTTGAAAGTGAGGTACGTAGGTAATTAAAATATTTCAAGCGTTTTTTTTTTTTTTATCACCAAGCCCCGCAAATAATCTTCTATAAATGTCTATATGTGTACATTGTAAATGTAGTATATTTGTATTTTATTTTCGCTCGCTAAACAAAAAAGCTGCGAAAGAAAAATTTAAATACGTGCGTGTATTAATTGTATGTCATGTTATATAATTAACTGTAGAAAATATATATATGTATATATTGAAATGCACAAATGTGTGGATCAAAACTTATTTCTAAGATTCTTTAGATTTGTATTAGGTGAGAAAAAAGAATAAAATTACGTAGCCGGAAGAGCGTTATTTTGAAGCTGACCTCCGATTGTCATAGTGGTCGACACTGTCATCTACGAAAAAAAATTGAACAAGTTTTGAAGAACTTTGATGTTATCATTGACTCCAATAATACATACTTGTCCGACGTCTTTAAGAACTGTTACTTCTGACTTTTGCGTTTTGTCTTTCACGATATTGCGATTTTCTTTCTTCTCGCTCTCGAGCCGTTTCTGAAAAATCGATCAAATCACAAACAAAATGCGCATATTAATTAATTTAAGTGTGAAAGAGAACAAAAAGCAAAATTCTATGTGTATCTTTGGCGGTATCTTTAAATTTGTAAAAACATATCGAAAAATGACAATCGTACAGCGCTTTCCATTTGTACGGGCTCCCGCTTCGCGATTATTTTCTCTTCGTGCTTCTTTCGCTCCTCGATCGCGTTGTTCAACGCGGTCTGCTCCGGAGGCGTGAGCATCAGAAGACGCGGATCCATAGCGATCCATTCGCTCTGCACTATCTGATCCAATCGCCAGCGTCTATGCACATCCGGTTCGAGCATGCTGCTCGCGAGTTTCTTCACGTGTTCGCTCAAATTGTTCACCACTTTACTGCGGAATCTCCATTTGCGCGCTAACTGCAACTCGTACAGGCGTTTTAAGTTGCTCTCGTCGAACGGCATAGCTTTGTTCAACAATATATAGAGAACTACGCCCAACGACCATATGTCAGATATCTTCGGATTGTACGGATGACCGCGAAGAATTTCCGGTGCCGCGTACGACAGCGAACCGCAATACGTGTCGCTCATAACACGTTTACCGCGACTATCGATCATATAACGGGCGAAGCCGAAGTCCGCCAGTTTTACATTGTAGTTAGACGTCAAAAGAACGTTTTCACACTTGACATCGCGATGCGCTATTTCCATTTCGTGTAGATATTGCAAACCTGAAAGGTCAAAATGTTTTTGGGGGTCGTTGTCGACGACTTTGATTATTCAATAACGCGCTCTTTTTGTCGAGTATCGATACCTAGAGCGAGCTGACGGAACCACACGCGGGCCTGACTCTCCGACACCGCGCCGTTTCTCGTTATAAACTCGAGAAGATCGCCGTTCTCGGCGAAGCGCATGAATATGAAGTACTTGCTGCGTCGTTGAAAAATGCTATGCACATGAACGATGTGCGGATGATTTAGCTTAACTAAAATGTCCAATTCGCGTGGCAGAAACCGCTTGACGAATTCCTTCGGCGCACTCGCGGTGTCGATGATTTTGCAAGCCAGAGAGTTATTTCGATTTGTCTCGTCCTGTTTAAAATCGGCCAAATACACCTGCGAGAACCGGGAAGAAGAATAATCGTTATTAATTAAAAAAAAAAAAAAAAACAATACAAACGCGCGGAAAAGAATAATAAAATTTATTATATAGTTAAAATACAGACTTTTGCGTAACAACCTTCGCCGAGCTTTCTCACCAGTTTGTAACCCCGGGTTAGCAGTATGGATTCTTCGGATGAGGTTTGATTCAGGTGCGACATGAGATTTGTAGAATGACAGACAACATTCTAACTATTACGTTACCACAATATCACGATTGGTCATTCTCTTGCTTCCGTCTCATGTTTAAATATATACTGATACTTTTGCAAACGTGCGGATATAATTCCGGTGACCATCTGGGATCACTATTTGTTGTATTTTTGATATAACGCAAATTACAAAGAGCATGCGTTTTCTTTTTTTTTCATTTATTTATTTATGACGAAAAGATATGAAATTTTCTAGAAATATTTGTTTTCTTTTTACCTTTAAAATTTTGTTAATATCTATCTAAGCGGATGCTTAATCATTTTGACAAGTTTTGCAAAATATGACACGAGCCGATGTCAATGAGATGAGTTATAAAAATCAGACAGGATCGTGTCTATATCGAAATTAATCGAAAACAACAGACTATAGAAAAGCAATATTTAAAGAAATTCGTACACGCAAAAAATTATATAAAAACATCGTAAATTATATTGATATATTTTTTTCACAGCTTAAAACTTTCAAATTCGAATTCGATAATGTATCATAATTCGGGAGCATATTCGATACGTTTAACGATCGCTTTGTATTCCTCTTCCAAAAGCCGGTATTCCTTCTCCAGTATCTCCTTGCGTTGCTCGTCAGTCGGTAGACCATTATTACCATTGGTGTATGGTTTTTTGTCTGCGTTTTTCAATGCGCGTTCTATCTTTAGTTCTTCATTTTGTTTTCTTTTAAACGGTATATTTAATCGTTTCTTCACGTCTATTCTGTAGGCCCGATATTCTTCTGGATTCGAAACATTTGTCGCGCGCAAACGCAAGATTTCGTACACTATACGCGCTTGTTTCTGGGAATAAAAAAAATTTACAATAAAAAAAAAAAACAAAAACAATAACGATACCAGAGAGACGAAGAAGATAGCATTCTACGTAAAAAAGAATACCTTGTTTATTCTTAATTTATCTCTAGCCTCGGCAATCATTTCGTTGCTGAAACCTTCCTTCAAACGTTCTGGCTGAAAACTGGGCAATTTGCTGCAATTCAAAGAATCTACAAAATTTCGTAGTCGTTGAAATACATCGGATGGGCTCTCAACTGCAAACATAAATTCATTAAAATATCACAATCGTTTATATATGGTAATTAAACAAATTAGTTTTTATTACCTGTTATATCTTTAACTTCACTCCTGCCAATGTATTCGCGATAAACCGCTTGTAACAAATGTGTACCAAGACTCATTCTTCGAAATAACGGTAAAATTAAAAATTGGGCAATGCGCGGTCGAATGTGTTGCGGATATGCATAATACCGATATACAGTAACAAAACCAACTGTTGCATATCGAGATACACCTGTAGGTGTAGTGTATTTTTCAAACCTATTTTGTAGAAATTATTTTTAATAAGAATTACACACATACACACACACAAGCACATTATATATATATATATAATTAGTTGTATATTTTAAGAAGCGCTTACAAATTAAAATATTGCCATTGATCGTCGTCAAGATCAATGAAAAGAGCCGCATCTATGTACCAAAGAAGAAATGTCTGAATTCTTTGATGGTATTCCCTGAATCCTTTGTAACTCATATCAGCTTTGTAGACTACAAACTGTCTTGTTGCGCCTTTGTCTATAAGTTTTTTTTTATATAATAGTAGAAAGAAAATTGCATTTAATGTAAAAGTGATTTATAACATTCGAATATGCTAGGCTTTAGAAAATATCGAAAATACCATCTATTGAGAAAGAATGTATCAATTCTCCATATGGTACAAATGTATCATCCTTAGCAAGTGCGTTGATAAAATTGGTTAAACTATAGTGAACATCGGGAGCAAGCTTCTCAGCGAGTTTTGTTAAAACTTCATCTGGTTCAACTTCGTCGCACTGTTTGTTTACTTTTTCTGTATATGTCATTCCCAAGTATGTTTCCAAACAACCTGCTGAATAGAACAGCTGTACTTTCAGATCCCGATAACCAAATATTATTTCTCTAAAACATATCATAAAAAGAAAAGAATTTTGTATAAAAATTTCATACGCATGTAAAAATTATATTTATATAAACAAAACAAGAGATATATCCTTCTAACTGGCATTAAAGTAACAAACCTATCTCCAAATACTTGATAAGTCATTTCTGGTTTAAATACAGCCTCTTTTGAATTCAGGTCATCCAGATCGCGTATTAATCTAAATTCTAGAACCTCATTGCTATTTGATACTAATCTCTTCAAACGCGTTATCGTATCTTCCATTTTTCTTTAAAACAGACAAAAAACCAAATCAACACACCGTTAGAGTATAGATATACACATTTTGCTTCAAACAATATTTGATCTTGTACAACAGCACGATTAATCTAAAACTATAGATTAAATAATTGCTGAAAAAGTATTCGTTACATCTTCAGTATAAAAAGATACCTACCTTTCGTTAAAAGCTTTAAACAGTAAGATCAAATACTCAAAATTTTCGATTTTGGCTGAAACACCTTCGCGCCAAAATAAGCCACTTCGTGATGACAAACCGTTGTGTCGAAGGTTAGGTTCATACTATAAATATATAATACTAGAGATAAGTCTGAGAGCGGCTAGGTCTGTAAGAAAATGTGTAATCACCTTTCCACCCCGTAAACTAGCGCATGTGCCACGAGTGGCACACATTGGAACTACGCAGCCAGTCCACGAACGACACGTCGGTGCGCTATTGTCCACAGCGTGCGGTTCTATTCTGTGCTATGTGCATGAGTTTAAATGGTCACTTTCTTTAAGTGTGTGAATATATTCGAGAGCGTTAATTTTTGATTCCTACTAGAAAATTCTTTTCCGCGACGTTGATTGGACGTCTCGGTGACGTTTCTCGAATAATGGATGCGGTTCAAACACCTCAACAGTTTTGTATAATATACAAATTACATTGTAAAACACCTTTGTATAATATACATGGTTTTTTGTGTATTTTGTATTTATATACATATGTATATGTAGTATTTTTAAGAAAATAAAATAAAATTTATAAAGCACAGAGCAGCAAATGTGATGATGTAAAAGGAGATGATAGTTGGTTACACTCCACGAGTTCTGATGTTGCTCGCTAAAATAAGATTCTTTTCTTGACTATCACATCTTTTCTGGTATATCACATTTATGTTGTACGAAAAGTTGCAATGGTTTTTTTTATTCTTTTCTGTTTTCCTTTCTCATCTTCTCATCACGAGATCGGTCATTTTAAATTTCAAAAAAATCAAATTCACGCTCTCGAATATATTCACACACTTAAAGAAAGTGACCATTTAAACTCGTGCACATAGCACAGAATAGAACCGCCACGCTGTGGCAAAAATTTTAAGCAATTAATTTATTGTTATTTGTAATACTAGCACAACACAGGCGCGCGCTACGCGCACGCTATTGTTATTTTTATTTAACGTGTTGTCAGTGAACACAATCTGTCACCGCGATGACAGATAGTAAATACGTCTTATAGGTAAACCATATAATACACATATGAGAAATGTCAGAAATAACGCATGAAAATCAAACTCAAAAAATAGTGAGAGAGAGAAGTGGAAAAACAACACGTGAATAAAGTCGCGTGACAGGAAATAGGGTAAAAAAGAGACTATTATATATATTATATGTAATATTCTATATCTATATATAATACACACACATACGCATATATGTATATATATGCATATATCGTAATCACGCGACCGAGGTCAGTGACCCCGCCGCGGCCACGCGACCGAGGTCAATGACTTTGCCGCGGTCACGCGACCGAGATCAGTGACTTTTCTCTGTTGTATGTATATAATACATATAATATAATATAAAGTATAATATTATAAATATACAATAAATTATATGTATAATATATATAGTATTTAATGTTATATATAACAAATTACAGTCACGTTACTTTAGTCACGTGTTGTTTTTCCACACTTTCCTGTCAAGTGACTTTACTTTAGTCACGGTTTTTATTTTCTCCACGTATACGACAAACTGTCAAAATCGCTTCTCTATCAATAATACAATATTTTACTCTCCCAATCTTACCGATTCGATTCGACTCGACTCGATCAACCAATCGGCAACGCGAAAAAAAAAGGCAACAATAGATGCGATATATTCAAAAAATCCATCAAATGGATTTTTTTATATAGAGAGAAGAAAAGACACATCACAGACGCGCGCTACGCGCACGCTATTATTTTATTTTAACATATTCCGTCAGTAGACACAACATGTCACCGCGATGACAGCTAGTACACGTACGACAATATGAATCGAGAAACACATTATCCGAGAAACGTCACCGAGACGTCCAATCAACGTCGCAAAAAGATGCAACAATCAAGATCGATAGAATCGATTCTGATTATTTGCACACGCTTTTTCTGTTAGGAAACTAAATAAAGTGTCATTTACTCACTTTGTCTTTACTACGAATGTTTGTAAAATAACACAATTTTACTTGTAGGTATATCGTTAAAACAAACTTCATTTGACAATTGCTTGATATAACATTACATTTAAATGTTTTTCTAATCGAAATAATTATCTTCTGATTCAACAACCTGTTAATGTTTCGTTGACAGAAGTAAACTTTGCAACAGCTTGGAATTGAAGTTATAAACAAAATAATTTGTTTCATGTTTATTTAAAAAACTTTATTTTTTACTTACTTATGTATTAATTGTTGTTACTTCATACACAATAATATTCATGTTTGCCAATCACATGATTACTTATGTTTTTCGTCAGTATAAACAATATTGCACAAAACATCATCTACTAGAAAGTTTGCTTTTACAGTTTTTTACATATCGTTTGAATTAAACACAAAGCTGTAAATGTTGTATATACAAAGTGTCTGACAATTACTTAAAAATCTCTCGTAGACAGGTAGGAGTAAAACTGAGTAAAAAAAAGTCCTGAACCATTTTCTTCAATTACTATATATGTAAATCTAGTATAAGATTTGCCTAAATTTGTATCTTAACATATTTCGTCGCGCACGTACTTGCATATTCCGCACAAGAAACCATCTCATATCTATTTAAAAAACCAACAAATAAAGAGCAAACAGCTAACATATTACAACTTATTTACTCTTAATTTGACAGTATATAACATATCCTAGCAAAACTTTTTTATGTATAACATTGTATGGTCATATTTGGCATATACATTTGCATAATTAAATATAATAAATTAAAATTGTGTATAAGTATATATATAAAAAAGTTTTTACCGGAATCTAGGATGCATGAATCGTTCTTGTGTGTACTGATTGGATATTCACGTACAAAATGACAATTGAATACTTACGTTCAAAATGCTGTCTAGATTTATTGGTTATATACTGTTTATGTGACGACGCACTAAAATACGATTTTGCTCTCCAAATCTGGGTTGATTTATTCAATAATTACTTTATATGTAATAGAAAAAACTGGTTCAAAACTTTTCGACTCAGTTTCACTTCTTCTACCTGTCTACAAAAGATTTTAAAGAAATTATCGGACATTCTGTATAACATGAGAAGTATCTTTTCTACAACTGTGTTTTAAAAGTTTTATTCAGTAGATCAGTCTTGTTCTTCTTTCGCATAATTGTTCACAGTACATTAGAATTAATTTTTGTAAAATTGTATTTCATCCTATAAAAATGTGATTGTATGTATACACATTTATTCTTTGGTACTATACTAAAAGATATAAAATACACATTTTTATTTACCCTTCAAAAGCCTTTGTTATCTCGGCGAATTTGGACTTATTACAGATGATGGCAGTTTTGACGCGTTTCGGATCAAACAACGATTTAACATACGAAGCTGCCACGCGGCTCATATCGTCCATAGTAACGGCAGAAATACGTCGCACCATAAGAGAATTATAATCAGGCGGCAAGTTTCTGCAGTAGCGCTCGAATGATGTGTATATTACGTCGATCATGGATTTTCCCTCGTTGACATATTTTAAGATAGCTAACGATTTAGCTGAGTCGTAAAGATGTTGGACCCATTTGGCTTTCGTAATATGCGACTCCTAAAACAAAAGTATCAACATTACAGAAACGATCTAAACTCGCGCTGTTTTTGACAAATTATATATACATTCTGACAATTCAGTTATAATTTCCAAAACAAAAAAAACTAAAGTCATACCACTATCCACTTCGTCTTCTTGTACGCAGCTACTATGTCTGTAGCTGTAGAAAGCTGTAAATTTAAGAGTCCTTTGATCGGATTCGCAAAAATAATAAAGTCACAAGACCATTCTTTTGCTTTCATTACTTTCCATAAAGGTCCCTGAAAAAAAACATGCATGCTTAAAACATATGACGAACATTACGCAGTTTGTATCAAACAATCAGTTTTTTTTTATCACCAATCATTACGTGCTTACATCCATTTGTGAGAAATACTGTAAACAGACAAGTAAAGCTGCCAAATCAGGATCGTGACAATCATTTATACACGGACAAACTTGAACAAAGGAGGACAATTGTACATATTCTGATGATTGAATATAACCGTTCTCAGTTATGTCATTAAAAGGTTTAAGGAATTCCCAGTCACTGGTGACATTAGGCCTGAAACGTGTATAGTTCATTGCATACATTAACATACTTCTAATGTGTATACCAGCAGCTGATAAAAGAAGATCAAAAACTGATATACGCAAATTTTTAAACATATGATAATATTAGTACAGCAATGTAAAAGTCAGAAAAATCGTGTAATTTTTTATATGTTGTAGCACCTTATTAGCATCTTAATTGTATGTATTTTTTTTATCATACATTATTAAAATTTGTTTTCTATATAATAGTGTTACTTTAAATTTATGTGTATTACACTATTACTTCTGCATCTCACCTCATGAATTTTTAATTGTCTGCGTTGATTACGGTTATACTATATAAAATTGATTGCACAAACAAGAACCTTATATCTCATGATTGATATTTTAAATTCCATACATTTTTTTTAATATTCCAAAGTTTTTACTACACTTACTTTGTTTTTTTTGATGTCATAAAATCCGAAAAAAATTTATTCCACGGAGCATAGACATCAGGAACGTGTTTGGTTAATTTATCGACATTGACGGCCATGTACACAAACATATTCTGTGGTGAAGTCATCGTTTTTCGAACATATTCAATTTCCTCTAACACTTTCTTTTCTCCTGCAGTATTTAGATAATCTCTGATCTGACTGCACAAAACATACAGCTGGTATATGTTGAATGAAAACGGAAAATCGTCTGCCGAAGAATTTACGCCATTATCATCGTATTATATTTAACATATTCCATTATATTATCGTTAAATTATACTTGTAATGTATGATTAGTAAATAAAATCTCCACAGATTTACCTGTGTTATACAGCAATATTATCATTAAAGTGTGAAGAATACAATTATCTTTTCGTGTTGTTTGCTTAAGACTATTTGTTACTTGTGTTATTAATATTGTCAATTTGTCGGCCGTTAGTTCAGTGTCAAATACAAGCTGTTTATACAATTGTACACCTTTTTCATAGTTGTGTACTTCCATCTAAACCAAAAAAACTGGTTAAAATCTACTTTAAAGTTTCAAGTTATTAAAATATACTTTTTTCTAGAAGAATGTAGTTTTTTACTATATATAATGCATTACTTGAAACAGTAGAGATATACTGTGCGGACTAATATAACCAATTTGAGTAGTAATGTCTCCCAAATCAGTTCTTTTCTTTATAGATTCTCTGATGACTTCCAGCAATAACGGAATATACTTTCTATATTCGTTACTAATAGAGGAAGTGTCTACTAAAACATATAACTGAATTACAAATAAATGAGTATTAAATATCATATTATACTATACTTACATTTAAACAAATATTGCATTTTGACTATTGAAAGAGCAAATATGAAGACAAATATATACATTTTCACAAAATAGAACTTTATACAATAATATGCGGTACGAAACCGATACTTACATAAATAAAATTTGTATTAATGTCATTTAAATAAGTAAAAAATGGCAGCTTTTTTAAATCTAGTTTAGGATGTTGTTTGAACGTTTTTGTGGTATATCTCTTAAGTTGATAAAATGTGATAGAATCTATGCCAGGTATAGGCACACTCGTCAGTATTTCGGTAGATATAGATTTCTTAAAAAATTGTGAAAAAAAGAAATAGAAAGAAATGCTGACGTATATAAAAAATTGTATGTATAACCTAATAATAGTTTACTGACGCACGTCTAAATAAATGTATGTATTATTGTATGAATAATTGTATGTATAATCTAATATAGCTTATTGATATACATATAATCTAATCTTATAAGATTTAAATGTATACTTTAATTTCTTTAATAGATTGCTCATATTACTTTTTTTTTTGCTTTTAACTCTTTCATCTTACCTTTGCGATGTGTTCATCTATATAGTTTTTTTCTTCTTGCAACTTATTATACTCGTCTACATTTGGTTTGCCTTTTACAACAACCATTGGTACGTCCAAAAAGTAAGTCTTCAGCAATTCTAAAAAATATTCTACAGATTCGGTTTTTAATTTCTCGAGTTGACGTATAGTGTGTAATCGTTCTTCTAGCTGAAAATATAAAAAAAAAATGATATTTACTGAATTAAAATATAATTAATTTTTGAAAAAAATAAAATTCATTGACTAAACTGTCTCACATACATCTTTACTCTCACATTCAGCATTATCTGTATTTCCATACACCATATGATCAAAGACTGACTGTGATATTATATCGTGCGGATTGCTTTCTAGTTTCCTTTGTCTTTGAAGAATACTTTGATGAATTAAATTGTTCATTGTCTCTATATTTATACCATTTTTACATAAATTGCTAATTATTATGTCAAGAGATGATTTTATCTTATTAATAATGCTTATTGGTACTTTCGTAAACCACATATGCAAGGTCGAAACTGAATATTTAAAAGAATCGCACTTAACAGAAATAAGCCAAGTTTTTTCTTTTTGCATTTCAGATATTTTTTCGATTATCAACTTTTGTATTGACACATCAATGTACAATTGCGTGATGTACATTAAGAGTAATTGACAACCGCGATATTCGTACATTTGAGTAACCACTGACGGTCCTCGCCAAGCAACATACACCTCGCCATAGGTGTCCTNACTACATGGAAATTCGACGTCCATATTTACACTTTTTTTGAGCTGTTTAATCGAAGTTTGCCAAGGTCTCCTAAATGTTTCGGGTTTCTTCTACAAGTAAGATATAAAACTGAATATTATAATAATGTCACTGTAATATTATAATGAATATTATAATAATGTCGATGTAAGTTTTTAAACATCTAATGCTTCAAAGGAAAAAAAGAATAAGGCGTGCAAACTGTCAATTTTTTTAACAATATGTACATACCTGCTTAATTAATTCTTCTTCTAAAGGCAGTAAAGCTTGAAAAATTTTATCGTGTTCTATCTTACCCATTATCACTACAGTCAAATTTTCTGGTCTGTAAAATTTTTCATGAAACTGTTTGATTTTTTCAATATTAGTACTTTCACGCAAATTTTTAGTTGTACCTGCAATTACACACATAAATATTTTATATTATGTACTAAGCTAGCACTTGGAAATATGTACCCACAAAAACTATGAAAATGTTTCTTGTATCTCTTTTTACCTTCTATTACTGATTTATATCCACATTTTCCAGGATAAAGTGCTTTAAGCATCTTCCTCTTCATGATCTCGCTTAATGTTTGTTCTTTCTTCTGTTGTTTACAATACAGTACACCGGTATTTTTACTTTTGTCAAAATGATGTATCTCTCTACGATATGCTGAACCCTACCAAAATGTAGAAAAATATAAAAAAATTTTATTTACAATTTTATTTTGAACACTTCTTAGAAACGATTTTATAAATAAGAAATACTTTAGTATCTTTTACACAATTTAGTACAAGTAATTTGTTGTATACAGTACAATACAACACGTCAGAATTTCGTACCATAACTTTTATTGTTGGTATAATATTTAGTAAGATTCATTGTTAAATTTAGGCCAAAAAAAAATATGCTACGATAAATTTATATTATGCGCGCCAAAAGTTTATGCGAATTTTGTATCAATGTAACAATATTCTTTTGATAAATATTAAATGATACGTTAACTGTTGTTGTTTTTAAAGGACAAAAGAATGTGTTTTAAAAATACAGTATAATAACGATGTGGTATTGACATACTAATCATAATATAAGATTAAATGTAAAAGTAGTAAGTTTGAAGAAACCGTTATAAAAGGCAAAACAAATAAAAAATATCTCTTGTAATAATTATCAAGATAAAATAGAATATTTATTAATATTTATTAAACTATGTCACTAGTGAGAAATCGACAGTTTAACATTAAGCGGTTAGAGAAGATCTCAAATAATGATAGATTTTTCACCTTAGTTGGGAAACATCAGTCATAAAAAACTTATTATTTGACTTTTATTCTTTATATTTTGCACATTCTCGTTTTAAACATATAAACAAGTGAGTAAAGACTTTACCTCTAAACTAGGAAAAAATATGTGATCGAGATATTTTGGCATTAGAGAAAGAAATGCATCGCTACCAGCTGCGCTCATAGTAAAAACTGTACGATCTTTTAAACAATAACCATCGATGTTGTCTCCTAAGCATCTTTTAGCCCAAAGATTTAAAATAGTCTTGGTTGGATGTTCCTCGCTGCCCGAGAAAATGAGATGTTGCAGCGCAGAAGGAACACCGTCGTCATCTAATGTTTCAGTCACTGATAAAAAACATTGTTATAATTAAGAGCTACACTTAAATATTTTTAAGACGTTATATTTGATAAGAAATACTACGCATTGCTTCAAACGTATTTTGCAATTGTCGCTTCTCGAAAGAAACTATCTTACGTAAACAAAAATACGTTTGAAGTGTGCGTGTGTGACATTATAATATCAATATATTACCAATATTAAAATAACCGGTGATAATTGGACCGTCTAATTTTAAAATACAAATAGTGATTCCGGTGCTCAGAGATCTATACATGTGAAATGGAATAGTATTCTCGCACATTAAANAACATTTGTGTTGAAAACCGCGAATTTTGTTTAGCGGTTGGTCTTTATCTTGTTCCATTTTGACAAAAACAAACTTTGTCTAAGCTGGTACTTTTCTGAATTTTGTAGTAAACCTCTAGATTGTATGAACGTGGCAATTTATGGAACGTTCACTATTCTTCACAGGCACAAAGGAACGTCACATTTATACATATGATAGCTGTAGTTTCTTAGGAATATATATTCAAGTAGACGGTATTCATAGTCCGATTATATATGTAAGACTATCGTAAATTATATATGTAAGACTATCGTAAATTTACCTTGAAATTGACTTTAGTTACTTGTTGTATTGTTTACCTTGAAAATTGAGTTACCTTGAGCGAAATGTTTCATTGGCTACATGACGACCAATCGTAAAATGAATGTAANACAATCTTAAATATAAGAATCACCTATGAATACCGGCCTTAATAGAAAAAGTGCTTTTTGTTAAAATGTTTATTCGTTAAAAACTTATCNTAGTATATGACACACAGAGAGAACGGTTTGTTTAAATTTACTATTCCGATTTGTTTGACTCATATTCGTTGCATTCAAACAACATAATTTTATACCCAACAACAATTTTGTTAACTACAACGTATATTGTTGCGCTAAAATAAATTAAATTATTTGACGGAAACAACAAAAATGTTCGAAATAATTTATTTCAACGAAATAATATTTTATTTTGTTTTAATAAGCATTTTTTAATAAACAAAATCATTTTGTAATATAAATGTGTAACATAAAATTAATGTGATTTAAATATAGCATTGTTTTTGAGACAAAAAATTTCGAGTTGTAAAAATGTACTTTAAATTATAAGAATAAGAATGAATTAATANTAATAAGAGAAATATTTTTATCCATTGTTGCAAATACATTGCACTGCACTATTTTTAATAAAATAATAATTTAAAGAAATAATATTATAATTGAAAGGCCTGTAAGTTTATTGTTGCAGTAAAAAGAACAATAGTTAAATATTTAATTATTAAATAAAAATGGTAACAACNCGTGACTAAGGTAATGTGGATGTATATTATACATACTTGATATTATAATATATTATAATGTATAGTATACATAACATTAAATAATATATATAATATAAATAATATATTAAATAATATATATTATACATATAATTTCTTATATATATTTAGGTTATATTTTATATTAGATATTATATATCTGATATACATACTACCGTAAGGTCACTGACCTCGGCCGCGCGACCGCGGCGGTGTTACTGACTTCGGTCACGTGAGTACGGTATATATTGTATATATACCAAACATAAATAAAGAGTCCGTTACTCACTTTGTCTTTACTACGAATGTTTGTAAGATAATACAATTTTACTTGTAGGTATCTATATTAAAACAAACTTCATTTGACAAATGCTTGATATAACATTACATTTAAATGCTTTTCTAATCAAAATAATTATCTTCCGATTCAGCAAACTATTAATGTTTTGTTGACACATGTAAACTTTACAGCAGATTGGAATTGAAGTTATAAAAAGAATAATTTGTTTCATGTTTATTTAAAAAACTTTATTTTTTACTCACTTATGTATTAATTGTTGTTACTTCATACACAATAATATTCACGTTTGCCAATCACATGATTACTAATGTTTTTCGTCAGTATAAACAATATTGCACAAAACATCATCTACTAATAAGTTTTCTTTTACAGTCTTTCACATATCGTTTGAATTAAACACAAAGCTGTAAATGTTGTGTATACAAAGAGTCTGACAATTACTTAAAAATCTCTCGTAGACAGATAGGAGTAAAACTGAGTAAAAAAAAGTCCTGAACCATTTTTTTCTATTACGATATATGTAAATCTTGTATAAGATTTGCCTAAATTTGTATCTTAACATATTTCGTCGCGCACGTACTTGCATATTCCGCACAAGAAACCCATCTCATATCTATTTAAAATACCAACAAATAAAGCGCAAATAGCTAACATATTACAACTTATTTACTCTTAATTTGACAGTATATAACATATCCTAGCAAAACTTTTTTATGTATAACATTGTATGGTCATATTTGGCATATACATTTGCATACTTAAAAATAATAAAGTAAAATTGTGTATAAGTATATATATAAAAAAGTTTTTGCCGGAATCTAGGATGCATGAATCGTTCTTGTGTGTACTGATTGGATATTCACGTACAAAATGACAAGTGAATACTTACGTTCAAAATGCTGTCTAGATTTATTGGTTATATACTGTTCATGTGACGACGCACTAAAATACNATTTTGCTCTCCAAATCTGGGTTGATTTATTCAATAATTACTTTATATGTAATAGAAAAAACTGGTTCAAAACTTTTCGACTCAGTTTCACTTCTTCTACCTGTCTACAAAAGATTTTAAAGAAATTATCGGACATTCTGTATAACATGAGAAGTATCTTTTCTACAACTGTGTTTTAAAAGTTTTATTCAGTAGAGCAGTCTTGTTCTTCTTTCGCATAATTGTTCACAGTACATTAAAATTAACTTCTGTAAGATTGTATTTCATCCTATAAAAATGTGATTGTATGTATACAGTTTTATTCTTTGATACTATACTAAAAGATATAAAATACACATTTTTAGATACCTTTCGAAAGCCTTTTTTATCTCGGCGAATTTGGACTTATTACAGATGATGGCAGTTTTGACGCTTTTCGGATCAAACAACGATTTAACATACGAAGCTGCCACGCGGCTCATATCGTCCATAGTAACGGCAGAAATACGTCGCATCATAAGAGAATTATACTCAGGCGGCAAGTTTCTGCAGTAGCACTCGAATGATATGTATATTATGTCGATCATGGATTTTCCCTCGTTGACATATTTTAAGATAGCTAACGATTTAGCTGAGTCGTAAAGATGTTGGTCCCATTTGGCTTCCGTAATATGCGTCTCCTAAAACAAAAGTATCAACATTACAGAGACGATCTAAACTCGCGTTGTTTTTGACAAATTATATATACATTCTGACAATTCAGTTATAATTTCCAAAACAAAAAAAACTAAAGTCATACCACTATCCACTTCGTCTTCTTGTACGCAGCTACTATGTCTGTAGCTTTAAAAAGCTGTAAACTTAAGAGTCCTGTGATCGGATTCGCAAAAATATTTAAGTCACAAGAACATTCTTTTGCTTTCATTACTTTCCATAAAGGTCCCTGAAAAAAAACATGCATGCTTGAAACATGACGAACATTACGCAGTTTGTATCAAACAATCAGTTTTTTTTTATCACCAATCATTACGTGCTTACATCCATTTGTGAGAAATACTGTAAACAGACAAGTAAAGCTGCCAAATCAGGATCGTNAAAATCATTTATACACGGACAAACTTGCATAAAGGAGGACAATTGTACATTTTCTGATGAATGAATATAACCGTTCTCAGTTATGTCATTAAAAGGTTTAAGTAATTTCCATTCACTGGTGACATTAGGCCTGAAACGTGTATAGTTCATTGCATACATTAACATACTTCTAATGTGTATACCAGCAGCTGATAAAAGAAGATCAAAAACTGATATACGCAAATTTTTAAACATATGATAATATTAGTACAGCAATGTAAAAGTCAGAAAAATCGTGTAATTTTTTATATGTTGTAGCACCTTATTAGCATCTTAATTGTATGTATTTTTTTTATCATACATTATTAAAATTTGTTTTCTATATAATAGTGTTACTTTAAATTTATGTGTATTACACTATTACTTCTGCATCTCACCTCATGAATTTTTAATTGTCTGCGTTGATTACGGTTATACTATATAAAATTGATTGCACAAACAAGAACCTTATATCTCATGATTGATATTTTAAATTCCATACATTTTTTTTAATATTCCAAAGTTTTTACTACACTTACTTTGTTTTTTTTGATGTCATAAAATCCGAAAAAAATTTATTCCACGGAGCATAGACATCAGGAACGTGTNTGGTTAATTTATCGACATTGACGGCCATGTACACAAACATATTCTGTGGTGAAGTCATCGTTTTTCGAACATATTCAATTTCCTCTAACACTTTCTTTTCTCCTGCAGTATTTAGATAATCTTTGATCTGACTGAACAAAATACACAGCTGGTATATGTTGGATGTAAACGGACAATTGTCTGCCGAAGAATCTACGCCATTATCATCGTATTATATTTAACATATTCCATTATATTATCGTTAAATTATACTTGTAATGTATGATTAGTAAATAAAATCTCCACAGATTTACCTGTGTTATACAGCAATATTATCATTAAAGTGTGAAGAATACAATTATCTTTTCGTGTTGTTTGCTTAAGACTATTTGTTACTTGTGTTATTAATATTGTCAATTTGTCGGCCGTTAGTTCAGTGTCAAATACAAGCTGTTTATACAATTGTACACCTTTTTCATAGTTGTGTACTTCCATCTAAACCAAAAAAACTGGTTAAAATCTACTTTAAAGTTTCAAGTTATTAAAATATACTTTTTTCTAGAAGAATGTAGTTTTTTACTATATATAATGCATTACTTGAAACAGTAGAGATATAGTGTGCGGACTAATATAACCAATTTGAGTAATAAAGTCTCCCAAATCAGTTCTTTTCTTTATAGATTCTCTGATGACTTCCAGCAATAACGGAATATACTTTCTATATTCGTTACTAATAGAGGAAGTGTCTACTAAAACATATAACTGAATTACAAATAAATGAGTATTAAATATCATATTATACTATACTTAAACATTTAAACAAATATTGCATTTTGACTATTGAAAGAACAAATATGAAGACAAATATATACATTTTCACAAAATAGAACTTTATACAATAATATGCGGTATGAAACCGATACTTACATAAATAAAATTTGTATTAATGTCATTTAAATAAGTAAAAAATGGCAGCTTTTTTAAATCTAGTTTAGGATGTTGTTTGAACGTTTCCGTGGTATATCTCTTAAGTTGATAAAATGTGATAGAATCTATGCCAGGTATAGGCACACTCGTCAGTATTTCGGTAGATATAGATTCCTTAAAAAATTGTGAAAAAAAGAAATAGAAAGAAATGCTGACGTATATAAAAAATTGTATGTATAACCTAATAATAGTTTACTGACGCACGTCTAAATAAATGTATGTATTATTGTATGAATAATTGTAT